TGCGTTGATGATTATATTCAATGTTACTGTGAATGTGACAGTGGAGTGTTTGTTATCGATGTGATGATGAGCATTTAAGATTTTGTGTAATTGTTTTTGTATACTTTCAGAATCGTTTTCCCCATTGAGATTGAGCGAGTCTGTGTTAGCAGAGCCCATAGTTGAGAAAGGTAATTTTGAGATATTTTCGTAGATGTTCAGTTGAGTGTTATTTGTTATGAACGACTTGTTTTATTGATATTGATTATGGGTTGTATTGTTTTAGGATCAGTGAACGGAGATGCGAGCACCGTTTCAGGGTGTTCTGTTTTGACAGTGGGTGAATCTAAAGCTGTGTGCGTGTTGACGGCGATGGATCCGAAATTGATTGACTGTGGTGTGTTTGAGTATATTAAATTTTGTTTAAAATCTTTTGCGTGTTTTTACGGTTGTGTTGCTTTTTTTGTTGTGATTCTGTCGATTTTTGTTATGCATGTTTTCTTAGGTTATATTTTCTGCGTTTGTGTTTTGTATTTTTTTGGTTTTTATGTTTGATGTTTTTTTTCTTTGCTTTTTCTGTACTCCTTGGTTTTTTTCTGTTTACATATTTTCCTATGCTGTTTTTTCGTAGGTATTCTTCTTATTTTTTGTGGTAGGCTCATCGTTATTTCTATTGTCGTATGATTGTTAGTATATCTTCTTTTCTTCTTTTTTGTTTTTATATGGTGTTTATCGCTTACTGACTGTTAAATTGAATAACATGCATTCAGTTTATTTTTTAAGGTTCTCATCCGCTGCTTAAATCCTGAAATATTAAAAATCAGTATTATTGCAAATTGTACATAGTAATAACTGTTAAATTTTGTATATATTATTATGGTGAGGTAGTGAGACTGATGACTTGTAACGGGTGTTGCAAATTGGAAACTAGAAATCTTTACTGATTTTATTCCCTTTCTCTATTCAATTACTTTAGCATACAATCAATTTATTATTTTATCTCTATGGTGTCTTGTTACTATATCTGATGATCCAGAATCTCTCATATATATTAGAATAATTTGCACCACTCATTATATGTCATCAGTCTCACTACCTCACCATGATAATATATATCCAATTTTACAGTTATTACTATGTAAACTTTGCAATAATAGTGATTTTTAATATTTTAGGTTTTAACCAGCGGATGAGAACACTTTGAAATGAATTCATCCTGTTTATGCTCTATCAGTTTTATGGTTTTGTTTTTGGTCGATTGTTATGTATGAAATTATGTTTATTATTGACTTTTACTTCAGGTCCATCGTTTTCTGAAAATAAGACGGCAAATTTTAATCTTCCTTCTCTTCCTATAAATGTTACTGCTTTATCCAGTACCTTTCCACAATCTTTATCGGCTGTACAACAACTGTGCTCTGTAAAGGTGAATTATTATTGTTTTTTATTTAAAAAGAGTTAAGTTTTTACTTGATTTGTTCACTTGACATTTTACTTTGGGTCACTTTCTACATAAGACTGCTGATAGTACTTGCCAGTTGTTACAAACGAGGTAGGTGAATTTTTAAAAAGTCAAACAACTTAACCACTAAACCTGCCGTTTCATCCTAATAGCAAGTGCAGAAATTTGTTCTTGTTCAATAAACGAAATTATGGGTTGTGATGATGTGTAGTTATTCTGCTTATTGACAAACTGTTGAAATAAACGTATTCGAGCACTTTTTCCCATCATCATTCTACTGAAATAATTGAAATGTATGTATATCATATCATTAATTATTCGAATATGTAAAGTTACTAGGATGTTAGTCATATTTCTTTGCAGTTTTTACATTTTAGTGGAAGCGCTCATTTTTACCATTATATGTATGCTTTTCTATAGTAGTTTGTTCAGTATTTGGTTATCGTCAGTATCATTAGACTGCTGCCTCTTATCCATTTAGAATTGAAGTGGATTATACATGTCTGATTTTACGAATTAGCTATATCATATAACAGAAAACGTGTCCCCTTTTTCTCAAATAAATTTTTTTACTGTTTATAAAAATAATCATTTCAAATATTGGAAAAAATGTTACTTTATAGGGTACTACGAGTAAAAAGCGTCGTCTTCTTGGGGAACAAGATAGGATTTCTGCCTTAATGTCATGTAAGTTGACTTTTCTCGTTACTTCGGTGAAATCCATTGACTTTCTCTTATTGCTGTGTACTTTTCATGTCTTTCTTTCAATCATTGTTAGTTTATAAAAATTTTTTTCTATTTTTCCACATCAAATAAACTTTCTATGATATGTTAGTGGTTATATTCATATTATGTTCATATTATGTAACTGTTTCTTTTATCAAAGGGTACTGTTATTATTCTGATTTTTGTTCTTATAATTAGTGTAATTTATTCTCACTTTACACTTATTAAAGAAACGATACTTAGAAAAACTTTTAATAATATAACTTATCTGTTTGGTAAACTAACTGATAAATAGTTTTGTTGAGATAATGGAATATTTTGTCAACATGTTTGTGGTATTAAGATAGTGTATTCCGTTGCAAGTTTACATCATTATTCAATAATACTGGTTGAAAAATCCTTATTATTTATTGAATCGCGTATAAATGAAAATCTGAAATTGAGTAACTAATACTTCATCGATCAAAAGCCTGAAGTGTTAATGTTTTATTTAAGCCTTTCATGTTGATTCTGAGGTTGATTTCATTTCGTGACATAAATTTATCTTCAAACATAATTAGATACGATTTTCATAAATAATATGTTTACCAATTATTACTCAAATAGCTCAAGAATGATATAGGATAACATTTCATGAGAATATATGAGACGGTGGTATAGTGGTAAGGGGTTCAACTTTCCAGGTTTATATCTCACTTCTACTTCAATTTGAAATGCCTTCAAAAAAACAGTGTTTCTCAAAACCGAAAATGTAGTCTTGTATTCGGTAAAATATATTACAGATTATTGTATGCTGTCATTGTCATACAATCAATCAATGATCTCTCAATTTTGATTAGTATACTTTCATTGATGTTATATTAAAGATACACTGATAAGTACTTTCCTCATTATTATTATTATCATTGCTACTGTTATTATTATTCTCACTATTAATTATTTTACTTTTTGTTAAGTAAATGAATTCGAGGACGATTATAAATCAGAAGCGCATCGAATTTCAAGTAAAACTCGAGTTAGTAATATTCTTAATTTGTTATCGTTTTTTATTAGTTACCCTGTGATACTTGTTATTTTTTATTGTTTAGAATCTTGATACAGTAGGCAATGATTTAACGAAGAGATTTGTGTGAAATAACTTTTCATGAATTCATTCTCAAAGTTGTAAAAATACTTATTTTTAACCAAAGACTAAGACAAAATTCTGATTAAAATATCTAACAAAACTGATAGTTAGAAAAGTTAGTTACATAAGATGATAAGATAAATTGAACATGAAAATTTGATTAAAGCGCAATCTAGACAAAAAGAGTCAATTGAATTAAAGTAGAAAAAGAAAAGAGAATTGATCAATATAAAATAAAAGTGGTTTTAGGTAATTAATAATCTGGTGTATAACAGAAGAAAAACATCCACGACCCTCCTCCGGGAATCGAGCTTTGGACCTTCAGGTCTCTTTGACCATCATCCATTTATTTACTCGTCAATACGCGATATTGACAGCTATCTTTCTTCGTTGGGGTCGTGTTATGGGCTCTGATAAGGAGTCTTGTACTAAATTAACACATCCGTCTAGTGCTTCCTAGTTTTTAGTGGTTTCCCAACTAATACCAATTTTGTCTAGAATAGAAGTAAACGTTTTAGCCTTGGTATTTGTAGAAACGCATATGATTTTCTACTTATGGACGTTACTACTCCACGAAGAATGACATAGTTTATGCTGCTAGCAATAAAACAAGCTGTCCGTCATTTAATATTTTTGATTATTAAAATATTGATTAATACTTTCCAGCTAAGTCAACTGACATATTCTCGTGCTTCAAGTGATAGTAAATTGTATCCGGAGACTGTGGATTCTGTTTTACCCTTAATCAAACCACTTAGCATAATCATCACAGATTGTTTCCTTGAATCAGAAGAAGATGATATTGTTGATTCCGGGCAATTAGTGAAGAAGCGTCGAAAAAATAGTAAGTGATTAAAAATTAGTAAAAAGTCACATTTTTAAATATTTCAGAAATTTTTAAAAGTATCATGTCATTAAATCTCGAAAATTTCCAATGGTTGCTATGAAAGTCTTCTAAACTCAAGAGTCAAAGTTCAAAAAATGCAGAAATTAATAAATATTTTTGAAAGATTTAAAAGAAGTAAAATACTGATTTTAAGGTAAGCACACAAACACTAATAATACAACACTCAGACGTACGTTAAATATTTACTGTAAGCAGCGTGTTACGTTAATTAAAAGGCAGAGAAAATCCTTCAGACAAGGAACTACTATCATCAATCATTGTAGAACAAAAACGGAGTAGTTCCGTTTCCTTTACATAGTTTCGTACAGTAAGAAATTGAACAGTAAAAAAGTCGAAAGACATTGAAGATACATAGCTGCTATAATTAAAGGAAAAAATTCGAACATCATTCCATAACCACAAAGTAACATTTTAGCAAAATTTACCGTACATTCGAGACGACGTAAAATCTCCCCAGTAAAGTAGTCACCCAATACAAATAAATAAACTAAAAACCAACATGGAATGCCAGTATTTATAAAAAACATCCACAAACCGACGTTTCGATATCAACAAACAAAAAAAACACTTCGCAACGTTAGATGATTTTGACATCTCCATCAGACCTGAGGATACTAATTACATACTGACCGTTCTCCAAACTGACCTGCATGTTATGATAATACCTAAACGAACAAGTATTACAGCCCATATAAATCGATTAAGTGACCACGATATGCAAGCCTAACCACCATATCCATTTAGCAGTTACTGTTGTGATGTCCTTATTTTTGCTAACTGTGTTTTATTGTTAACTTTGTAGGTGTTGTTTTAGATGAAGAGAAGAATGTTTCGAGAGATAATAGCGAGACGTTGGAGCCACCGGTATCCTCTCTCCAAGGATTATCACCGATCCCTTACCGTTGTGAAGACGATGTTGCGATTCCAGACGGTATGTGTTTTTTTCAGTCGTTGTGGTTGTTTGTTTATCGATGTCCGACGTGTGTTTGTGTGTTAGAGAGTGTGATTGATTTCAGGTTGAAAATGGAGGTTATCATGTGAGCACATAGGTGTGTGTATGTATGCATGTGCATATATATATATATATATATATATATATATATGGATGAACAAAGAAATGTATATGTATATGCGTTTTTCAGTGATATTATCACCATGTATCGTGTTGTTTATGCTTACTGTGTTTGATTGTTGGTTTTGTAGTTGTTGCTTCAGATGGAGCAAAACATGCTTCGAGTGATGGTATGGTGATGTTGAAGCTACCAGTGTCCTCTCTCCAGGCATTGTCACCGATCCCTTACCGTTATGAAGATGATGTTGCGATGCCAGAAGGTATGTATTTGTTTATCTGTTATTTTGGTTGTTTGTTTATTGATGTTTGACGTGCGTTTGCGTTTTTTTGCAGTATATGATTTTGGGTATTTGGTGTTAGATACTAATATTTTTTTCTACAAATTGTTGAGTTGTAGATTTAGTAACATTTTTTGCATTTGTAAAGGCGATTGGGTATTGAAAGTGTTAATTCATCAATGATGTTTTGAGGGAAGGTAGTGAGTGAATGTGTCTGGGGTATTGCGAACCATTCTCAGGCTTATTATCCATAGTCTCTTGCAATTGGTTACGATAATTACGCGACCACACATAGGTATTCTACAGTGATTAATATGAATCAGTCTAATTATCAATGGCTTCATGGGCTAGTGACATGGCTTCTCTTGGCCTCACCTAGCTTTCTCTCGGTCTACTTGTACACTGGACAATATCGCTCGCTGATTTAGGCGGTGATTGGGCATAGGGGAGACATATACGAACCACCTCAGCCGATGAATATTCACTTCCTGATCAATCGATTTGGCAATCTGTACTTAGTATCCTATGCGTAACTTCAGCATTGCTCACTCGGCAGACAAAAATGTATGATCTGTGTATCTGTTCACCTATGATCGAATAATAGTGACCTGAGAACATTCTCTGTTCTTATTGGCTATGTTTGACACCCATAAAGTAGAACCAAGCGAATTGTTGATTAGTAAACTCGTCCTTTGATTGATAGACTAATATCTCACCCACTTCATGAGTGACACAAAAGCCGACCGAACTTTTTGATTCCGTGTCGTGGTTTCATCAAATACCTATTCATCAGGACTGATGAGACGTCCAAGATAAATTATAAGTGATCGACATGCTCAGCTACTTCACTCCCTATCATTAATGCAGAGGTTGACGCAGCCCAGTTTTGAATTAACAATTTTGATTTATAGGGAGAGAATCGCGTCTTAAACATGCTCGCATTATTGCTTAAGGCAACAGTGATCTCAATATCTTTTCAGCGTCTTTACCAAACAGCACGATATCACTTGGGTATTCTAAATCAATAAGCGAATCTTCTGGTAGAAGACCGACCTCTGAAAAGTCAGACTATGAGAGTATCATTTTTAAAAGGATATCGATGACGAAGTTAAATAAGAGTGGAGAAACTGCACAATCCTGAGGAACACTACTTGAGGTTGACAGTTCTCGATAAACTTTAACTTGACCAATAGTGTTGAAGTGAAGAACCTCTACAAATTTGATGTACTTGTTTGGTATGCCTTTTAATGACAAACACTACCACAGAACCTCACATTCGACAGGGTCGAAAACTGCCTTAAAGTCTAAGGTTAAGAAATACACTGTAGTCGGATGTCGGGAAGTATGTTTATGTTCCAGGACTTGACAAAGGGTGGGTATTTGGTTGTTACGTTCACGTCTAGGTTTGAACCGAGTCTGACTGTCCCGATTTCTCTCTTCACGAGCCCTGGTTATTGGGGAAAATATATTAGGTGTTATATTATTCAAACAGATTCCTTTGTGGTCACGACTAGGGAGATTTCTGTGCTTTCTTATAAACTGGGACAATCAGCGATCGAGACCAGTCAGATGGGATTATGTCTAATTCCCATATTCTAATTATGATCTCAGTCGATCTGACTGACAAACTAGACTACTATCTTTAGAGATCTCCAGAGCTAACCCATTTGAACCTGCTGCTCTGTGTCACTTTAGATTAGTTATAGATTTTTCAACCTCACTAAGAGTTTGAGGGCTGATGTTGATTTTCCTTTCAGGCTGTTTGGCGATAGTGGGTAACTGAAGGGTAGCAGGAGGTCAGTTGAACTGTTGCCTAAAATGTTCTGCATATCGGTTTAATCTCATGGGTTGAGAGTGAATAATAGTCCTGAGATAGTCTCACTAACAGCCGGATTATTAAAACCTGTTCGCTTGATAAGTCTGAATAGTTGTCTACTGTTAACTACTACTGCTGCCTTTTCCATCACTTTTGGTTTCTCTGCCCACCGCTGCTCACGATCATTGCATAGGCTTTTGATCCGTCTACATGTAAGCTGTTCTCACTCCTCATCGTGTTTGGAGTTAGACGGATGAGTTTCTGGGCATCTATCAGTTCAGTGGACTCTACGGAAATCCATTGACGTTTCTCAACGCTTTAGTTTAATTTACTGGTAGATATTACTGCTGTTTATAAATTTGTTTAAATATCATACCAAGCTACCTTGGAGTGGATATCACTTTCATGGTTAGTTAACTGATTTTCTATTTGCTGCTGAAATGTACGCTTGACTGTTTCACCATTAAGTCGAACTCGAAGAGGTCTTCTTGCTATGGCCTTTATGTTTTCAGTAAGATACAGACAAACATGTGTTCTCACTAGGATATGATCAAAGTCTAGACATGTGCTCTATAATGAGCGGCTGTCTATTATCGAGCCTCTCCAATAATGACTGGTGGCACTGTGATCCATTTGAATCCGTTGTTCATTCGGTTGTGGGTGTCTCAGTGTCAGACAATGTCTTCCCTTATGATTGGAGTTGATGTTTGCTAGAAATAAACGGTTATGTGAGCATAGTTGGAGCAGCCTGTTGGCCATGAAGACGTGGGAGTGTGGTGACGGAGGCTAAGGGACAATAGTTTGAGGTCGGTAAAACATGACCCTTTTATGAGAAGTTTATGATCTCCTAGCTCCCTACTTCCAAAGGCCTTGGCACTGAAGACGTAAATCCGTGGTGTAAGTTGTAAAATCATTTCAGAGTCGATATTTTCTAACTTCTTCCCTTCGCTGTGAGAAGGCATCATTGCCGTAGATGCTGGTTTTCTGAAGAAAACACTTTACTGTTATCACACGACTGTACAATTAGCAGTATGACTTCTCCTTCAGACCTAAGGTTACTAATTTCATACTGACCGTTCTCCAAACTGACCTGCATGTTATGATAATACCTAAACGAACAAGTATTACAGCCCATATAAATCGATTAAGTGACCACGATATGCAAGCCTAACCACCATATCCATTTAGCAGTTACTGTTGTGATGTCCTTATTTTTGCTAACTGTGTTTTATTGTTAACTTTGTAGGTGTTGTTTTAGATGAAGAGAAGAATGTTTCGAGAGATAATAGCGAGACGTTGGAGCCACCGGTATCCTCTCTCCAAGGATTATCACCGATCCCTTACCGTTGTGAAGACGATGTTGCGATTCCAGACGGTATGTGTTTTTTTCAGTCGTTGTGGTTGTTTGTTTATCGATGTCCGACGTGTGTTTGTGTGTTAGAGAGTGTGATTGATTTCAGGTTGAAAATGGAGGTTATCATGTGAGCACATAGGTGTGTGTATGTATGCATGTGCATATATATATATATATATATATATATATATATATGGATGAACAAAGAAATGTATATGTATATTGTGATATCCGAGTGGAGATTAAATCACAGGTAACTCGCGAGGACTATTCATGGACTAATATTCTATAAATATTCTTATTGTATAACTACTCAACAATTACACTATGGATATTTATATTCCTTTTATGATAAGCTTTATTTTGATCTATAATTTATTATTGTACGATTTACGGTTCTTAAGTTATGTTCAGTTTATTACCTACTGCCTCCCGTACTCATAGCCACTTTTTGGGCTTCTTTGTGTACAAATATTATTTCCTATTTTATGGTACGTTGCGGTCTGTGTGATTGATATATAAACCAAGTATGTCTGAAATAAACGGTCTGGTCTGATTTGCTCTGATTCGGTAGCTGGTATCTTGTTCTGGACTCAAGTGGAAGGGCTCATAGGACATAGGACCAATAAGGACGCTAAACTACCCACACCGGTTGAACGTCATTGGTTGGCCTAGTGTGAAGATTCGTATAAGTCGTATTCGGATTGGTAGATAAATCGCGTGATAGAAAAACCAGACATTTAAGGTCATAACAATTGGCGACGGGGTGGAGAAAAGTTTTGAACCCTCAACTTCAAGTCATAACATATATGCGTTTTTCAGTGATATTATCACCATGTATCGTGTTGTTTATGCTTACTGTGTTTGATTGTTGGTTTTGTAGTTGTTGCTTCAGATGGAGCAAAACATGCTTCGAGTGATGGTATGGTGATGTTGAAGCTACCAGTGTCCTCTCTCCAGGCATTGTCACCGATCCCTTACCGTTATGAAGATGATGTTGCGATGCCAGAAGGTATGTATTTGTTTATCTGTTATTTTGGTTGTTTGTTTATTGATGTTTGACGTGCGTTTGCGTTTTTTTGCAGTATATGATTTTGGGTATTTGGTGTTAGATACTAATATTTTTTTCTACAAATTGTTGAGTTGTAGATTTAGTAACATTTTTTGCATTTGTAAAGGCGATTGGGTATTGAAAGTGTTAATTCATCAATGATGTTTTGAGGGAAGGTAGTAAGTGAATGTGTCTGGGGTATTGCGAACCATTCTCAGGCTTATTATCCATAGTCTCTTGCAATTGGTTACGATAATTACGCGACCACACATAGGTATTCTACAGTGATTAATATGAATCAGTCTAATTATCAATGGCTTCATGGGCTAGTGACATGGCTTCTCTTGGCCTCACCTAGCTTTCTCTCGGTCTACTTGTACACTGGACAATATCGCTCGCTGATTTAGGCGGTGATTGGGCATAGGGGAGACATATACGAACCACCTCAGCCGATGAATATTCACTTCCTGATCAATCGATTTGGCAATCTGTACTTAGTATCCTATGCGTAACTTCAGCATTGCTCACTCGGCAGACAAAAATGTATGATCTGTGTATCGGTTCACCTATGATCGAATAATAGTGACCTGAGAACATTCTCTGTTCTTATTGGCTATGTTTGACACCCATAAAGTAGAACCAAGCGAATTGTTGATTAGTAAACTCGTCCTTTGATTGATAGACTAATATCTCACCCACTTCATGAGTGACACAAAAGCCGACCGAACTTTTTGATTCCGTGTCGTGGTTTCATCAAATACCTATTCATCAGGACTGATGAGACGTCCAAGATAAATTATAAGTGATCGACATGCTCAGCTACTTCACTCCCTATCATTAATGCAGAGGTTGACGCAGCCCAGTTTTGAATTAACAATTTTGATTTATAGGGAGAGAATCGCGTCTTAAACATGCTCGCATTATTGCTTAAGGCAACAGTGATCTCAATATCTTTTCAGCGTCTTTACCAAACAGCACGATATCACTTGGGTATTCTAAATCAATAAGCGAATCTTCTGGTAGAAGACCGACCTCTGAAAAGTCAGACTATGAGAGTATCATTTTTAAAAGGATATCGATGACGAAATTAAATAAGAGTGGAGAAACTGCACAATCCTGAGGAACACTACTTGAGGTTGACAGTTCTCGATAAACTTTAACTTGACCAATAGTGTTGAAGTGAAGAACCTCTACAAATTTGATGTACTTGTTTGGTATGCCTTTTAATGACAAACACTACCACAGAACCTCACATTCGACAGGGTCGAAAACTGCCTTAAAGTCTAAGGTTAAGAAATACACTGTAGTCGGATGTCGGGAAGTATGTTTATGTTCCAGGACTTGACAAAGGGTGGGTATTTGGTTGTTACGTTCACGTCTAGGTTTGAACCGAGTCTGACTGTCCCGATTTCTCTCTTCACGAGCCCTGGTTATTGGGGAAAATATATTAGGTGTTATATTATTCAAACAGATTCCTTTGTGGTCACGACTAGGGAGATTTCTGTGCTTTCTTATAAACTGGGACAATCAGCGATCGAGACCAGTCAGATGGGATTATGTCTAATTCCCATATTCTAATTATGATCTCAGTCGATCTGACTGACAAACTAGACTACTATCTTTAGAGATCTCCAGAGCTAACCCATTTGAACCTGCTGCTCTGTGTCACTTTAGATTAGTTATAGATTTTTCAACCTCACTAAGAGTTTGAGGGCTGATGTTGATTTTCCTTTCAGGCTGTTTGGCGATAGTGGGTAACTGAAGGGTAGCAGGAGGTCAGTTGAACTGTTGCCTAAAATGTTCTGCATATCGGTTTAATCTCATGGGTTGAGAGTGAATAATAGTCCTGAGATAGTCTCACTAACAGCCGGATTATTAAAACCTGTTCGCTTGATAAGTCTGAATAGTTGTCTACTGTTAACTACTACTGCTGCCTTTTCCATCACTTTTGGTTTCTCTGCCCACCGCTGCTCACGATCATTGCATAGGCTTTTGATCCGTCTACATGTAAGCTGTTCTCACTCCTCATCGTGTTTGGAGTTAGACGGATGAGTTTCTGGGCATCTATCAGTTCAGTGGACTCTACGGAAATCCATTGACGTTTCTCAACGCTTTAGTTTAATTTACTGGTAGATATTACTGCTGTTTATAAATTTGTTTAAATATCATACCAAGCTACCTTGGAGTGGATATCACTTTCATGGTTAGTTAACTGATTTTCTATTTGCTGCTGAAATGTACGCTTGACTGTTTCACCATTAAGTCGAACTCGAAGAGGTCTTCTTGCTATGGCCTTTATGTTTTCAGTAAGATACAGACAAACATGTGTTCTCACTAGGATATGATCAAAGTCTAGACATGTGCTCTATAATGAGCGGCTGTCTATTATCGAGCCTCTCCAATAATGACTGGTGGCACTGTGATCCATTTGAATCCGTTGTTCATTCGGTTGTGGGTGTCTCAGTGTCAGACAATGTCTTCCCTTATGATTGGAGTTGATGTTTGCTAGAAATAAACGGTTATGTGAGCATAGTTGGAGCAGCCTGTTGGCCATGAAGACGTGGGAGTGTGGTGACGGAGGCTAAGGGACAATAGTTTGAGGTCGGTAAAACATGACCCTTTTTATGAGAAGTTTATGATCTCCTAGCTCCCTACTTCCAAAGGCCTTGGCACTGAAGACGTAAATCCGTGGTGTAAGTTGTAAAATCATTTCAGAGTCGATATTTTCTAACTTCTTCCCTTCGCTGTGAGAAGGCATCATTGCCGTAGATGCTGGTTTTCTGAAGAAAACACTTTACTGTTATCACACGACTGTACAATTAGCAGTATGACTTCTCCTTCAGACCTAAGGTTACTAATTTCATACTGACCGTTCTCCAAACTGACCTGCATGTTATGATAATACCTAAACGAACAAGTATTACAGCCCATATAAATCGATTAAGTGACCACGATATGCAAGCCTAACCACCATATCCATTTAGCAGTTACTGTTGTGATGTCCTTATTTTTGCTAACTGTGTTTTATTGTTAACTTTGTAGGTGTTGTTTTAGATGAAGAGAAGAATGTTTCGAGAGATAATAGCGAGACGTTGGAGCCACCGGTATCCTCTCTCCAAGGATTATCACCGATCCCTTACCGTTGTGAAGATGATGTTGCGATTCCAGACGGTACGTGTTTTGTTCAGTCGTTGTGGTTGTTTGTTTATCGATATCCGACGTGTGTTTGTGTGTTAGAGAGTGTGATTGATTTCAGGTTGAAAATGGAGGTTATCATGTGAGCACATAGGTGTGTGTATGTATGCATGTGCATATATATATATATATGGATGAACAAAGAAATGTATATGTATATGCGTTTTTCAGTGATATTATCACCATGTATCGTGTTGTTTATGCTTACTGTGTTTGATTGTTGGTTTTGTAGTTGTTGCTTCAGATGGAGCAAAACATGCTTCGAGTGATGGTATGGTGATGTTGAAGCTACCAGTGTCCTCTCTCCAGGCATTGTCACCGATCCCTTACCGTTATGAAGATGATGTTGCGATGCCAGAAGGTATGTATTTGTTTATCTGTTATTTTGGTTGTTTGTTTATTGATGTTTGACGTGCGTTTGCGTTTTTTTGCAGTATATGATTTTGGGTATTTGGTGTTAGATACTAATATTTTTTTCTACAAATTGTTGAGTTGTAGATTTAGTAACATTTTTTGCATTTGTAAAGGCGATTGGGTATTGAAAGTGTTAATTCATCAATGATGTTTTGAGGGAAGGTAGTGAGTGAATGTGTCTGGGGTATTGCGAACCATTCTCAGGCTTATTATCCATAGTCTCTTGCAATTGGTTACGATAATTACGCGACCACACATAGGTATTCTACAGTGATTAATATGAATCAGTCTAATTATCAATGGCTTCATGGGCTAGTGACATGGCTTCTCTTGGCCTCACCTAGCTTTCTCTCGGTCTACTTGTACACTGGACAATATCGCTCGCTGATTTAGGCGGTGATTGGGCATAGGGGAGACATATACGAACCACCTCAGCCGATGAATATTCACTTCCTGATCAATCGATTTGGCAATCTGTACTTAGTATCCTATGCGTAACTTCAGCATTGCTCACTCGGCAGACAAAAATGTATGATCTGTGTATCGGTTCACTTATGATCGAATAATAGTGACCTGAGAACATTCTCTGTTCTTATTGGCTATGTTTGACACCCATAAAGTAGAACCAAGCGAATTGTTGATTAGTAAACTCGTCCTTTGATTGATAGACTAATATCTCACCCACTTCATGAGTGACACAAAAGCCGACCGAACTTTTTGATTCCGTGTCGTGGTTTCATTAAATACCTATTCATCAGGACTGATGAGACGTCCAAGATAAATTATAAGTGATCGACATGCTCAGCTACTTCACTCCCTATCATTAATGCAGAGGTTGACGCAGCCCAGTTTTGAATTAACAATTTTGATTTATAGGGAGAGAATCGCGTCTTAAACATGCTCGCATTATTGCTTAAGGCAACAGTGATCTCAATATCTTTTCAGCGTCTTTACCAAACAGCACGATATCACTTGGGTATTCTAAATCAATAAGCGAATCTTCTGGTAGAAGACCGACCTCTGAAAAGTCAGACTATGAGAGTATCATTTTTAAAAGGATATCGATGACGAAGTTAAATAAGAGTGGAGAAACTGCACAATCCTGAGGAACACTACTTGAGGTTGACAGTTCTCGATAAACTTTAACTTGACCAATAGTGTTGAAGTGAAGAACCTCTACAAATTTGATGTACTTGTTTGGTATGCCTTTTAATGACAAACACTACCACAGAACCTCACATTCGACAGGGTCGAAAACTGCCTTAAAGTCTAAGGTTAAGAAATACACTGTAGTCGGATGTCGGGAAGTATGTTTATGTTCCAGGACTTGACAAAGGGTGGGTATTTGGTTGTTACGTTCACGTCTAGGTTTGAACCGAGTCTGACTGTCCCGATTTCTCTCTTCACGAGCCCTGGTTATTGGGGAAAATATATTAGGTGTTATATTATTCAAACAGATTCCTTTGTGGTCACGACTAGGGAGATTTCTGTGCTTTCTTATAAACTGGGACAATCAGCGATCGAGACCAGTCAGATGGGATTATGTCTAATTCCCATATTCTAATTATGATCTCAGTCGATCTGACTGACAAACTAGACTACTATTTTTAGAGATCTCCAGAGCTAACCCATTTGAACCTGCTGCTCTGTGTCACTTTAGATTAGTTATAGATTTTTCAACCTCACTAAGAGTTTGAGGGCTGATGTTGATTTTCCTTTCAGGCTGTTTGGCGATAGTGGGTAACTGAAGGGTAGCAGGAGGTCAGTTGAACTGTTGCCTAAAATGTTCTGCATATCGGTTTAATCTCATGGGTTGAGAGTGAATAATAGTCCTGAGATAGTCTCACTAACAACCGGATTATTAAAACCTGTTCGCTTGATAGGTCTGAATAGTTGTCTACTGTTAACTACTACTGCTGCCTTTTCCATCACTTTTGGTTTCTCTGCCCACCGCTGCTCACGATCATTGCATAGGCTTTTGATCCGTCTACATGTAAGCTGTTCTCACTCCTCATCGTGTTTGGAGTTAGACGGATGAGTTTCTGGGCATCTATCAGTTCAGTGGACTCTACGGAAATCCATTGACGTTTCTCAACGCTTTAGTTTAATTTACTGGTAGATATTACTGCTGTTTATAAATTTGTTTAAATATCATACCAAGCTACCTTGGAGTGGATATCACTTTCATGGTTAGTTAACTGATTTTCTATTTGCTGCTGAAATGTACGCTTGACTGTTTCACCATTAAGTCGAACTCGAAGAGGTCTTCTTGCTATGGCCTTTATGTTTTCAGTAAGATACAGACAAACATGTGTTCTCACTAGGATATGATCAAAGTCTAGACATGTGCTCTATAATGAGCGGCTGTCTATTATCGAGCCTCTCCAATAATGACTGGTGGCACTGTGATCCATTTGAATCCGTTGTTCATTCGGTTGTGGGTGTCTCAGTGTCAGACAATGTCTTCCCTTATGATTGGAGTTGATGTTTGCTAGAAATAAACGGTTATGTGAGCATAGTTGGAGCAGCCTGTTGGCCATGAAGACGTGGGAGTGTGGTGACGGAGGCTAAGGGACAATAGTTTGAGGTCGGTAAAACATGACCCTTTTTATGAGAAGTTTATGATCTCCTAGCTCCCTACTTCCAAAGGCCTTGGCACTGAAGACGTAAATCCGTGGTGTAAGTTGTAAAATCATTTCAGAGTCGATATTTTCTAACTTCTTCCCTTCGCTGTGAGAAGGCATCATTGCCGTAGATGCTGGTTTTCTGAAGAAAACACTTTACTGTTATCACACGACTGTACAATTAGCAGTATGACTTCTCCTTCAGACCTAAGGTTACTAATTTCATACTGACCGTTCTCCAAACTGACCTGCATGTTATGATAATACCTAAACGAACAAGTATTACAGCCCATATAAATCGATTAAGTGACCACGATATGCAAGCCTAACCACCATATCCATTTAGCAGTTACTGTTGTGATGTCCTTATTTTTGCTAACTGTGTTTTATTGTTAACTTTGTAGGTGTTGTTTTAGATGAAGAGAAGAATGTTTCGAGAGATAATAGCGAGACGTTGGAGCCACCGGTATCCTCTCTCCAAGGATTATCACCGATCCCTTACCGTTGTGAAGATGATGTTGCGATTCCAGACGGTACGTGTTTTGTTCAGTCGTTGTGGTTGTTTGTTTATCGATATCCGACGTGTGTTTGTGTGTTAGAGAGTGTGATTGATTTCAGGTTGAAAATGGAGGTTATCATGTGAGCACATAGGTGTGTGTATGTATGCATGTGCATATATATATATATATGGATGAACAAAGAAATGTATATGTATATGCGTTTTTCAGTGATATTATCACCATGTATCGTGTTGTTTATGCTTACTGTGTTTGATTGTTGGTTTTGTAGTTGTTGCTTCAGATGGAGCAAAACATGCTTCGAGTGATGGTATGGTGATGTTGAAGCTACCAGTGTCCTCTCTCCAGGCATTGTCACCGATCCCTTACCGTTATGAAGATGATGTTGCGATGCCAGAAGGTATGTATTTGTTTATCTGTTATTTTGGTTGTTTGTTTATTGATGTTTGACGTGCGTTTGCGTTTTTTTGCAGTATATGATTTTGGGTATTTGGTGTTAGATACTAATATTTTTTTCTACAAATTGTTGAGTTGTAGATTTAGTAACATTTTTTGCATTTGTAAAGGCGATTGGGTATTGAAAGTGTTAATTCATCAATGATGTTTTGAGGGAAGGTAGTGAGTGAATGTGTCTGGGGTATTGCGAACCATTCTCAGGCTTATTATCCATAGTCTCTTGCAATTGGTTACGATAATTACGCGACCACACATAGGTATTCTACAGTGATTAATATGAATCAGTCTAATTATCAATGGCTTCATGGGCTAGTGACATGGCTTCTCTTGGCCTAACCTAGCTTTCTCTCGGTCTACTTGTACACTGGACAATATCGCTCGCTGATTTAGGCGGTGATTGGGCATAGGGGAGACATATACGAACCACCTCAGCCGATGAATATTCACTTCCTGATCAATCGATTTGGCAATCTGTACTTAGTATCCTATGCGTAACTTCAGCATTGCTCACTCGGCAGACAAAAATGTATGATCTGTGTATCTGTTCACCTATGATCGAATAATAGTGACCTGAGAACATTCTCTGTTCTTATTGGCTATGTTTGACACCCATAAAGTAGAACCAAGCGAATTGTTGATTAGTAAACTCGTCCTTTGATTGATAGACTAATATCTCACCCACTTCATGAGTGACACAAAAGCCGACCGAACTTTTTGATTCCGTGTCGTGGTTTCATTAAATACCTATTCATCAGGACTGATGAGACGTCCAAGATAAATTATAAGTGATCGACATGCTCAGCTACTTCACTCCCTATCATTAATGCAGAGGTTGACGCAGCCCAGTTTTGAATTAACAATTTTGATTTATAGGGAGAGAATCGCGTCTTAAACATGCTCGCATTATTGCTTAAGGCAACAGTGGTCTCAATATCTTTTCAGCGTCTTTACCAAACAGCACGATATCACTTGGGTATTCTAAATCAATAAGCGAATCTTCTGGTAGAAGACCGACCTCTGAAAAGTCAGACTATGAGAGTATCATTTTTAAAAGGATATCGATGACGAAGTTAAATAAGAGTGGAGAAACTGCACAATCCTGAGGAACACTACTTGAGGTTGACAGTTCTCGATAAACTTTAACTTGACCAATAGTGTTGAAGTGAAGAACCTCTACAAATTTGATGTACTTGTTTGGTATGCCTTTTAATGACAAACACTACCACAGAACCTCACATTCGACAGGGTCGAAAACTGCCTTAAAGTCTAAGGTTAAGAAATACACTGTAGTCGGATGTCGGGAAGTATGTTTATGTTCCAGGACTTGACAAAGGGTGGGTATTTGGTTGTTACGTTCACGTCTAGGTTTGAACCGAGTCTGACTGTCCCGATTTCTCTCTTCACGAGCCCTGGTTATTGGGGAAAATATATTAGGTGTTATATTATTCAAACAGATTCCTTTGTGGTCACGACTAGGGAGATTTCTGTGCTTTCTTATAAACTGGGACAATCAGCGATCGAGACCAGTCAGATGGGATTATGTCTAATTCCCATATTCTAATTATGATCTCAGTCGATCTGACTGACAAACTAGACTACTATTTTTAGAGATCTCCAGAGCTAACCCATTTGAACCTGCTGCTCTGTGTCACTTTAGATTAGTTATAGATTTTTCAACCTCACTAAGAGTTTGAGGGCTGATGTTGATTTTCCTTTCAGGCTGTTTGGCGATAGTGGGTAACTGAAGGGTAGCAGGAGGTCAGTTGAACTGTTGCCTAAAATGTTCTGCATATCGGTTTAATCTCATGGGTTGAGAGTGAATAATAGTCCTGAGATAGTCTCACTAACAACCGGATTATTAAAACCTGTTCGCTTGATAGGTCTGAATAGTTGTCTACTGTTAACTACTACTGCTGCCTTTTCCATCACTTTTGGTTTCTCTGCCCACCGCTGCTCACGATCATTGCATAGGCTTTTGATCCGTCTACATGTAAGCTGTTCTCACTCCTCATCGTGTTTGGAGTTAGACGGATGAGTTTCTGGGCATCTATCAGTTCAGTGGACTCTACGGAAATCCATTGACGTTTCTCAACGCTTTAGTTTAATTTACTGGTAGATATTACTGCTGTTTATAAATTTGTTTAAATATCATACCAAGCTACCTTGGAGTGGATATCACTTTCATGGTTAGTTAACTGATTTTCTATTTGCTGCTGAAATGTACGCTTGACTGTTTCACCATTAAGTCGAACTCGAAGAGGTCTTCTTGCTATGGCCTTTATGTTTTCAGTAAGATACAGACAAACATGTGTTCTCACTAGGATATGATCAAAGTCTAGACATGTGCTCTATAATGAGCGGCTGTCTATTATCGAGCCTCTCCAATAATGACTGGTGGCACTGTGATCCATTTGAATCCGTTGTTCATTCGGTTGTGGGTGTCTCAGTGTCAGACAATGTCTTCCCTTATGATTGGAGTTGATGTTTGCTAGAAATAAACGGTTATGTGAGCATAGTTGGAGCAGCCTGTTGGCCATGAAGACGTGGGAGTGTGGTGACGGAGGCTAAGGGACAATAGTTTGAGGTCGGTAAAACATGACCCTTTTTATGAGAAGTTTATGATCTCCTAGCTCCCTACTTCCAAAGGCCTTGGCACTGAAGACGTAAATCCGTGGTGTAAGTTGTAAAATCATTTCAGAGTCGATATTTTCTAACTTCTTCCCTTCGCTGTGAGAAGGCATCATTGCCGTAGATGCTGGTTTTCTGAAGAAAACACTTTACTGTTATCACACGACTGTACAATTAGCAGTATGACTTCTCCTTCAGACCTAAGGTTACTAATTTCATACTGACCGTTCTCCAAACTGACCTGCATGTTATGATAATACCTAAACGAACAAGTATTACAGCCCATATAAATCGATTAAGTGACCACGATATGCAAGCCTAACCACCATATCCATTTAGCAGTTACTGTTGTGATGTCCTTATTTTTGCTAACTGTGTTTTATTGTTAACTTTGTAGGTGTTGTTTTAGATGAAGAGAAGAATGTTTCGAGAGATAATAGCGAGACGTTGGAGCCACCGGTATCCTCTCTCCAAGGATTATCACCGATCCCTTACCGTTGTGAAGATGATGTTGCGATTCCAGACGGTACGTGTTTTTTTCAGTCGTTGTGGTTGTTTGTTTATCGATGTCCGACGTGTGTTTGTGTGTTAGAGAGTGTGATTGATTTCAGGTTGAAAATGGAGGTTATCATGTGAGCACATAGGTGTGTGTATGTATGCATGTGCATATATATATATATATGGATGAACAAAGAAATGTATATGTATATGCGTTTTTCAGTGATATTATCACCATGTATCGTGTTGTTTATGCTTACTGTGTTTGATTGTTGGTTTTGTAGTTGTTGCTTCAGATGGAGCAAAACATGCTTCGAGTGATGGTATGGTGATGTTGAAGCTACCAGTGTCCTCTCTCCAGGCATTGTCACCGATCCCTTACCGTTATGAAGATGATGTTGCGATGCCAGAAGGTATGTATTTGTTTATCTGTTATTTTGGTTGTTTGTTTATTGATGTTTGACGTGCGTTTGCGTTTTTTTGCAGTATATGATTTTGGGTATTTGGTGTTAGATACTAATATTTTTTTCTACAAATTGTTGAGTTGTAGATTTAGTAACATTTTTTGCATTTGTAAAGGCGATTGGGTATTGAAAGTGTTAATTCATCAATGATGTTTTGAGGGAAGGTAGTGAGTGAATGTGTCTGGGGTATTGCGAACCATTCTCAGGCTTATTATCCATAGTCTCTTGCAATTGGTTACGATAATTACGCGACCACACATAGGTATTCTACAGTGATTAATATGAATCAGTCTAATTATCAATGGCTTCATGGGCTAGTGACATGGCTTCTCTTGGCCTAACCTAGCTTTCTCTCGGTCTACTTGTACACTGGACAATATCGCTCGCTGATTTAGGCGGTGATTGGGCATAGGGGAGACATATACGAACCACCTCAGCCGATGAATATTCACTTCCTGATCAATCGATTTGGCAATCTGTACTTAGTATCCTATGCGTAACTTCAGCATTGCTCACTCGGCAGACAAAAATGTATGATCTGTGTATCGGTTCACCTATGATCGAATAATAGTGACCTGAGAACATTCTCTGTTCTTATTGGCTATGTTTGACACCCATAAAGTAGAACCAAGCGAATTGTTGATTAGTAAACTCGTCCTTTGATTGATAGACTAATATCTCACCCACTTCATGAGTGACACAAAAGCCGACCGAACTTTTTGATTCCGTGTCGTGGTTTCATTAAATACCTATTCATCAGGACTGATGAGACGTCCAAGATAAATTATAAGTGATCGACATGCTCAGCTACTTCACTCCCTATCATTAATGCAGAGGTTGACGCAGCCCAGTTTTGAATTAACAATTTTGATTTATAGGGAGAGAATCGCGTCTTAAACATGCTCGCATTATTGCTTAAGGCAACAGTGATCTCAATATCTTTTCAGCGTCTTTACCAAACAGCACGATATCACTTGGGTATTCTAAATCAATAAGCGAATCTTCTGGTAGAAGACCGACCTCTGAAAAGTCAGACTATGAGAGTATCATTTTTAAAAGGATATCGATGACGAAGTTAAATAAGAGTGGAGAAACTGCACAATCCTGAGGAACACTACTTGAGGTTGACAGTTCTCGATAAACTTTAACTTGACCAATAGTGTTGAAGTGAAGAACCTCTACAAATTTGATGTACTTGTTTGGTATGCCTTTTAATGACAAACACTACCACAGAACCTCACATTCGACAGGGTCGAAAACTGCCTTAAAGTCTAAGGTTAAGAAATACACTGTAGTCGGATGTCGGGAAGTATGTTTATGTTCCAGGACTTGACAAAGGGTGGGTATTTGGTTGTTACGTTCACGTCTAGGTTTGAACCGAGTCTGACTGTCCCGATTTCTCTCTTCACGAGCCCTGGTTATTGGGGAAAATATATTAGGTGTTATATTATTCAAACAGATTCCTTTGTGGTCACGACTAGGGAGATTTCTGTGCTTTCTTATAAACTGGGACAATCAGCGATCGAGACCAGTCAGATGGGATTATGTCTAATTCCCATATTCTAATTATGATCTCAGTCGATCTGACTGACAAACTAGACTACTATTTTTAGAGATCTCCAGAGCTAACCCATTTGAACCTGCTGCTCTGTGTCACTTTAGATTAGTTATAGATTTTTCAACCTCACTAAGAGTTTGAGGGCTGATGTTGATTTTCCTTTCAGGCTGTTTGGCGATAGTGGGTAACTGAAGGGTAGCAGGAGGTCAGTTGAACTGTTGCCTAAAATGTTCTGCATATCGGTTTAATCTCATGGGTTGAGAGTGAATAATAGTCCTGAGATAGTCTCACTAACAACCGGATTATTAAAACCTGTTCGCTTGATAGGTCTGAATAGTTGTCTACTGTTAACTACTACTGCTGCCTTTTCCATCACTTTTGGTTTCTCTGCCCACCGCTGCTCACGATCATTGCATAGGCTTTTGATCCGTCTACATGTAAGCTGTTCTCACTCCTCATCGTGTTTGGAGTTAGACGGATGAGTTTCTGGGCATCTATCAGTTCAGTGGACTCTACGGAAATCCATTGACGTTTCTCAACGCTTTAGTTTAATTTACTGGTAGATATTACTGCTGTTTATAAATTTGTTTAAATATCATACCAAGCTACCTTGGAGTGGATATCACTTTCATGGTTAGTTAACTGATTTTCTATTTGCTGCTGAAATGTACGCTTGACTGTTTCACCATTAAGTCGAACTCGAAGAGGTCTTCTTGCTATGGCCTTTATGTTTTCAGTAAGATACAGACAAACATGTGTTCTCACTAGGATATGATCAAAGTCTAGACATGTGCTCTATAATGAGCGGCTGTCTATTATCGAGCCTCTCCAATAATGACTGGTGGCACTGTGATCCATTTGAATCCGTTGTTCATTCGGTTGTGGGTGTCTCAGTGTCAGACAATGTCTTCCCTTATGATTGGAGTTGATGTTTGCTAGAAATAAACGGTTATGTGAGCATAGTTGGAGCAGCCTGTTGGCCATGAAGACGTGGGAGTGTGGTGACGGAGGCTAAGGGACAATAGTTTGAGGTCGGTAAAACATGACCCTTTTTATGAGAAGTTTATGATCTCCTAGCTCCCTACTTCCAAAGGCCTTGGCACTGAAGACGTAAATCCGTGGTGTAAGTTGTAAAATCATTTCAGAGTCGATATTTTCTAACTTCTTCCCTTCGCTGTGAGAAGGCATCATTGCCGTAGATGCTGGTTTTCTGAAGAAAACACTTTACTGTTATCACACGACTGTACAATTAGCAGTATGACTTCTCCTTCAGACCTAAGGTTACTAATTTCATACTGACCGTTCTCCAAACTGACCTGCATGTTATGATAATACCTAAACGAACAAGTATTACAGCCCATATAAATCGATTAAGTGACCACGATATGCAAGCCTAACCACCATATCCATTTAGCAGTTACTGTTGTGATGTCCTTATTTTTGCTAACTGTGTTTTATTGTTAACTTTGTAGGTGTTGTTTTAGATGAAGAGAAGAATGTTTCGAGAGATAATAGCGAGACGTTGGAGCCACCGGTATCCTCTCTCCAAGGATTATCACCGATCCCTTACCGTTGTGAAGATGATGTTGCGATTCCAGACGGTACGTGTTTTGTTCAGTCGTTGTGGTTGTTTGTTTATCGATGTCCGACGTGTGTTTGTGTGTTAGAGAGTGTGATTGATTTCAGGTTGAAAATGGAGGTTATCATGTGAGCACATAGGTGTGTGTATGTATGCATGTGCATATATATATATATATGGATGAACAAAGAAATGTATATGTATATGCGTTTTTCAGTGATATTATCACCATGTATCGTGTTGTTTATGCTTACTGTGTTTGATTGTTGGTTTTGTAGTTGTTGCTTCAGATGGAGCAAAACATGCTTCGAGTGATGGTATGGTGATGTTGAAGCTACCAGTGTCCTCTCTCCAGGCATTGTCACCGATCCCTTACCGTTATGAAGATGATGTTGCGATGCCAGAAGGTATGTATTTGTTTATCTGTTATTTTGGTTGTTTGTTTATTGATGTTTGACGTGCGTTTGCGTTTTTTTGCAGTATATGATTTTGGGTATTTGGTGTTAGATACTAATATTTTTTTCTACAAATTGTTGAGTTGTAGATTTAGTAACATTTTTTGCATTTGTAAAGGCGATTGGGTATTGAAAGTGTTAATTCATCAATGATGTTTTGAGGGAAGGTAGTGAGTGAATGTGTCTGGGGTATTGCGAACCATTCTCAGGCTTATTATCCATAGTCTCTTGCAATTGGTTACGATAATTACGCGACCACACATAGGTATTCTACAGTGATTAATATGAATCAGTCTAATTATCAATGGCTTCATGGGCTAGTGACATGGCTTCTCTTGGCCTCACCTAGCTTTCTCTCGGTCTACTTGTACACTGGACAATATCGCTCGCTGATTTAGGCGGTGATTGGGCATAGGGGAGACATATACGAACCACCTCAGCCGATGAATATTCACTTCCTGATCAATCGATTTGGCAATCTGTACTTAGTATCCTATGCGTAACTTCAGCATTGCTCACTCGGCAGACAAAAATGTATGATCTGTGTATCTGTTCACCTATGATCGAATAATAGTGACCTGAGAACATTCTCTGTTCTTATTGGCTATGTTTGACACCCATAAAGTAGAACCAAGCGAATTGTTGATTAGTAAACTCGTCCTTTGATTGATAGACTAATATCTCACCCACTTCATGAGTGACACAAAAGCCGACCGAACTTTTTGATTCCGTGTCGTGGTTTCATTAAATACCTATTCATCAGGACTGATGAGACGTCCAAGATAAATTATAAGTGATCGACATGCTCAGCTACTTCACTCCCTATCATTAATGCAGAGGTTGACGCAGCCCAGTTTTGAATTAACAATTTTGATTTATAGGGAGAGAATCGCGTCTTAAACATGCTCGCATTATTGCTTAAGGCAACAGTGATCTCAATATCTTTTCAGCGTCTTTACCAAACAGCACGATATCACTTGGGTATTCTAAATCAATAAGCGAATCTTCTGGTAGAAGACCGACCTCTGAAAAGTCAGACTATGAGAGTATCATTTTTAAAAGGATATCGATGACGAAGTTAAATAAGAGTGGAGAAACTGCACAATCCTGAGGAACACTACTTGAGGTTGACAGTTCTCGATAAACTTTAACTTGACCAATAGTGTTGAAGTGAAGAACCTCTACAAATTTGATGTACTTGTTTGGTATGCCTTTTAATGACAAACACTACCACAGAACCTCACATTCGACAGGGTCGAAAACTGCCTTAAAGTCTAAGGTTAAGAAATACACTGTAGTCGGATGTCGGGAAGTATGTTTATGTTCCAGGACTTGACAAAGGGTGGGTATTTGGTTGTTACGTTCACGTCTAGGTTTGAACCGAGTCTGACTGTCCCGATTTCTCTCTTCACGAGCCCTGGTTATTGGGGAAAATATATTAGGTGTTATATTATTCAAACAGATTCCTTTGTGGTCACGACTAGGGAGATTTCTGTGCTTTCTTATAAACTGGGACAATCAGCGATCGAGACCAGTCAGATGGGATTATGTCTAATTCCCATATTCTAATTATGATCTCAGTCGATCTGACTGACAAACTAGACTACTATTTTTAGAGATCTCCAGAGCTAACCCATTTGAACCTGCTGCTCTGTGTCACTTTAGATTAGTTATAGATTTTTCAACCTCACTAAGAGTTTGAGGGCTGATGTTGATTTTCCTTTCAGGCTGTTTGGCGATAGTGGGTAACTGAAGGGTAGCAGGAGGTCAGTTGAACTGTTGCCTAAAATGTTCTGCATATCGGTTTAATCTCATGGGTTGAGAGTGAATAATAGTCCTGAGATAGTCTCACTAACAGCCGGATTATTAAAACCTGTTCGCTTGATAAGTCTGAATAGTTGTCTACTGTTAACTACTACTGCTGCCTTTTCCATCACTTTTGGTTTCTCTGCCCACCGCTGCTCACGATCATTGCATAGGCTTTTGATCCGTCTACATGTAAGCTGTTCTCACTCCTCATCGTGTTTGGAGTTAGACGGATGAGTTTCTGGGCATCTATCAGTTCAGTGGACTCTACGGAAATCCATTGACGTTTCTCAACGCTTTAGTTTAATTTACTGGTAGATATTACTGCTGTTTATAAATTTGTTTAAATATCATACCAAGCTACCTTGGAGTGGATATCACTTTCATGGTTAGTTAACTGATTTTCTATTTGCTGCTGAAATGTACGCTTGACTGTTTCACCATTAAGTCGAACTCGAAGAGGTCTTCTTGCTATGGCCTTTATGTTTTCAGTAAGATACAGACAAACATGTGTTCTCACTAGGATATGATCAAAGTCTAGACATGTGCTCTATAATGAGCGGCTGTCTATTATCGAGCCTCTCCAATAATGACTGGTGGCACTGTGATCCATTTGAATCCGTTGTTCATTCGGTTGTGGGTGTCTCAGTGTCAGACAATGTCTTCCCTTATGATTGGAGTTGATGTTTGCTAGAAATAAACGGTTATGTGAGCATAGTTGGAGCAGCCTGTTGGCCATGAAGACGTGGGAGTGTGGTGACGGAGGCTAAGGGACAATAGTTTGAGGTCGGTAAAACATGACCCTTTTTATGAGAAGTTTATGATCTCCTAGCTCCCTACTTCCAAAGGCCTTGGCACTGAAGACGTAAATCCGTGGTGTAAGTTGTAAAATCATTTCAGAGTCGATATTTTCTAACTTCTTCCCTTCGCTGTGAGAAGGCATCATTGCCGTAGATGCTGGTTTTCTGAAGAAAACACTTTACTGTTATCACACGACTGTACAATTAGCAGTATGACTTCTCCTTCAGACCTAAGGTTACTAATTTCATACTGACCGTTCTCCAAACTGACCTGCATGTTATGATAATACCTAAACGAACAAGTATTACAGCCCATATAAATCGATTAAGTGACCACGATATGCAAGCCTAACCACCATATCCATTTAGCAGTTACTGTTGTGATGTCCTTATTTTTGCTAACTGTGTTTTATTGTTAACTTTGTAGGTGTTGTTTTAGATGAAGAGAAGAATGTTTCGAGAGATAATAGCGAGACGTTGGAGCCACCGGTATCCTCTCTCCAAGGATTATCACCGATCCCTTACCGTTGTGAAGATGATGTTGCGATTCCAGACGGTATGTGTTTTTTTCAGTCGTTGTGGTTGTTTGTTTATCGATGTCCGACGTGTGTTTGTGTGTTAGAGAGTGTGATTGATTTCAGGTTGAAAATGGAGGTTATCATGTGAGCACATAGGTGTGTGTATGTATGCATGTGCATATATATATATATATGGATGAACAAAGAAATGTATATGTATATGCGTTTTTCAGTGATATTATCACCATGTATCGTGTTGTTTATGCTTACTGTGTTTGATTGTTGGTTTTGTAGTTGTTGCTTCAGATGGAGCAAAACATGCTTCGAGTGATGGTATGGTGATGTTGAAGCTACCAGTGTCCTCTCTCCAGGCATTGTCACCGATCCCTTACCGTTATGAAGATGATGTTGCGATGCCAGAAGGTATGTATTTGTTTATCTGTTATTTTGGTTGTTTGTTTATTGATGTTTGACGTGCGTTTGCGTTTTTTTTGCAGTATATGATTTTGGGTATTTGGTGTTAGATACTAATATTTTTTTCTACAAATTGTTGAGTTGTAGATTTAGTAACATTTTTTGCATTTGTAAAGGCGATTGGGTATTGAAAGTGTTAATTCATCAATGATGTTTTGAGGGAAGGTAGTGAGTGAATGTGTCTGGGGTATTGCGAACCATTCTCAGGCTTATTATCCATAGTCTCTTGCAATTGGTTACGATAATTACGCGACCACACATAGGTATTCTACAGTGATTAATATGAATCAGTCTAATTATCAATGGCTTCATGGGCTAGTGACATGGCTTCTCTTGGCCTCACCTAGCTTTCTCTCGGTCTACTTGTACACTGGACAATATCGCTCGCTGATTTAGGCGGTGATTGGGCATAGGGGAGACATATACGAACCACCTCAGCCGATGAATATTCACTTCCTGATCAATCGATTTGGCAATCTGTACTTAGTATCCTATGCGTAACTTCAGCATTGCTCACTCGGCAGACAAAAATGTATGATCTGTGTATCTGTTCACCTATGATCGAATAATAGTGACCTGAGAACATTCTCTGTTCTTATTGGCTATGTTTGACACCCATAAAGTAGAACCAAGCGAATTGTTGATTAGTAAACTCGTCCTTTGATTGATAGACTAATATCTCACCCACTTCATGAGTGACACAAAAGCCGACCGAACTTTTTGATTCCGTGTCGTGGTTTCATCAAATACCTATTCATCAGGACTGATGAGACGTCCAAGATAAATTATAAGTGATCGACATGCTCAGCTACTTCACTCCCTATCATTAATGCAGAGGTTGACGCAGCCCAGTTTTGAATTAACAATTTTGATTTATAGGGAGAGAATCGCGTCTTAAACATGCTCGCATTATTGCTTAAGGCAACAGTGGTCTCAATATCTTTTCAGCGTCTTTACCAAACAGCACGATATCACTTGGGTATTCTAAATCAATAAGCGAATCTTCTGGTAGAAGACCGACCTCTGAAAAGTCAGACTATGAGAGTATCATTTTTAAAAGGATATCGATGACGAAGTTAAATAAGAGTGGAGAAACTGCACAATCCTGAGGAACACTACTTGAGGTTGACAGTTCTCGATAAACTTTAACTTGACCAATAGTGTTGAAGTGAAGAACCTCTACAAATTTGATGTACTTGTTTGGTATGCCTTTTAATGACAAACACTACCACAGAACCTCACATTCGACAGGGTCGAAAACTGCCTTAAAGTCTAAGGTTAAGAAATACACTGTAGTCGGATGTCGGGAAGTATGTTTATGTTCCAGGACTTGACAAAGGGTGGGTATTTGGTTGTTACGTTCACGTCTAGGTTTGAACCGAGTCTGACTGTCCCGATTTCTCTCTTCACGAGCCCTGGTTATTGGGGAAAATATATTAGGTGTTATATTATTCAAACAGATTCCTTTGTGGTCACGACTAGGGAGATTTCTGTGCTTTCTTATAAACTGGGACAATCAGCGATCGAGACCAGTCAGATGGGATTATGTCTAATTCCCATATTCTAATTATGATCTCAGTCGATCTGACTGACAAACTAGACTACTATTTTTAGAGATCTCCAGAGCTAACCCATTTGAACCTGCTGCTCTGTGTCACTTTAGATTAGTTATAGATTTTTCAACCTCACTAAGAGTTTGAGGGCTGATGTTGATTTTCCTTTCAGGCTGTTTGGCGATAGTGGGTAACTGAAGGGTAGCAGGAGGTCAGTTGAACTGTTGCCTAAAATGTTCTGCATATCGGTTTAATCTCATGGGTTGAGAGTGAATAATAGTCCTGAGATAGTCTCACTAACAGCCGGATTATTAAAACCTGTTCGCTTGATAAGTCTGAATAGTTGTCTACTGTTAACTACTACTGCTGCCTTTTCCATCACTTTTGGTTTCTCTGCCCACCGCTGCTCACGATCATTGCATAGGCTTTTGATCCGTCTACATGTAAGCTGTTCTCACTCCTCATCGTGTTTGGAGTTAGACGGATGAGTTTCTGGGCATCTATCAGTTCAGTGGACTCTACGGAAATCCATTGACGTTTCTCAACGCTTTAGTTTAATTTACTGGTAGATATTACTGCTGTTTATAAATTTGTTTAAATATCATACCAAGCTACCTTGGAGTGGATATCACTTTCATGGTTAGTTAACTGATTTTCTATTTGCTGCTGAAATGTACGCTTGACTGTTTCACCATTAAGTCGAACTCGAAGAGGTCTTCTTGCTATGGCCTTTATGTTTTCAGTAAGATACAGACAAACATGTGTTCTCACTAGGATATGATCAAAGTCTAGACATGTGCTCTATAATGAGCGGCTGTCTATTATCGAGCCTCTCCAATAATGACTGGTGGCACTGTGATCCATTTGAATCCGTTGTTCATTCGGTTGTGGGTGTCTCAGTGTCAGACAATGTCTTCCCTTATGATTGGAGTTGATGTTTGCTAGAAATAAACGGTTATGTGAGCATAGTTGGAGCAGCCTGTTGGCCATGAAGACGTGGGAGTGTGGTGACGGAGGCTAAGGGACAATAGTTTGAGGTCGGTAAAACATGACCCTTTTTATGAGAAGTTTATGATCTCCTAGCTCCCTACTTCCAAAGGCCTTGGCACTGAAGACGTAAATCCGTGGTGTAAGTTGTAAAATCATTTCAGAGTCGATATTTTCTAACTTCTTCCCTTCGCTGTGAGAAGGCATCATTGCCGTAGATGCTGGTTTTCTGAAGAAAACACTTTACTGTTATCACACGACTGTACAATTAGCAGTATGACTTCTCCTTCAGACCTAAGGTTACTAATTTCATACTGACCGTTCTCCAAACTGACCTGCATGTTATGATAATACCTAAACGAACAAGTATTACAGCCCATATAAATCGATTAAGTGACCACGATATGCAAGCCTAACCACCATATCCATTTAGCAGTTACTGTTGTGATGTCCTTATTTTTGCTAACTGTGTTTTATTGTTAACTTTGTAGGTGTTGTTTTAGATGAAGAGAAGAATGTTTCGAGAGATAATAGCGAGACGTTGGAGCCACCGGTATCCTCTCTCCAAGGATTATCACCGATCCCTTACCGTTGTGAAGATGATGTTGCGATTCCAGACGGTATGTGTTTTTTTCAGTCGTTGTGGTTGTTTGTTTATCGATGTCCGACGTGTGTTTGTGTGTTAGAGAGTGTGATTGATTTCAGGTTGAAAATGGAGGTTATCATGTGAGCACATAGGTGTGTGTATGTATGCATGTGCATATATATATATATATGGATGAACAAAGAAATGTATATGTATATGCGTTTTTCAGTGATATTATCACCATGTATCGTGTTGTTTATGCTTACTGTGTTTGATTGTTGGTTTTGTAGTTGTTGCTTCAGATGGAGCAAAACATGCTTCGAGTGATGGTATGGTGATGTTGAAGCTACCAGTGTCCTCTCTCCAGGCATTGTCACCGATCCCTTACCGTTATGAAGATGATGTTGCGATGCCAGAAGGTATGTATTTGTTTATCTGTTATTTTGGTTGTTTGTTTATTGATGTTTGACGTGCGTTTGCGTTTTTTTGCAGTATATGATTTTGGGTATTTGGTGTTAGATACTAATATTTTTTTCTACAAATTGTTGAGTTGTAGATTTAGTAACATTTTTTGCATTTGTAAAGGCGATTGGGTATTGAAAGTGTTAATTCATCAATGATGTTTTGAGGGAAGGTAGTGAGTGAATGTGTCTGGGGTATTGCGAACCATTCTCAGGCTTATTATCCATAGTCTCTTGCAATTGGTTACGATAATTACGCGACCACACATAGGTATTCTACAGTGATTAATATGAATCAGTCTAATTATCAATGGCTTCATGGGCTAGTGACATGGCTTCTCTTGGCCTCACCTAGCTTTCTCTCGGTCTACTTGTACACTGGACAATATCGCTCGCTGATTTAGGCGGTGATTGGGCATAGGGGAGACATATACGAACCACCTCAGCCGATGAATATTCACTTCCTGATCAATCGATTTGGCAATCTGTACTTAGTATCCTATGCGTAACTTCAGCATTGCTCACTCGGCAGACAAAAATGTATGATCTGTGTATCTGTTCACCTATGATCGAATAATAGTGACCTGAGAACATTCTCTGTTCTCATTGGCTATGTTTGACACCCATAAAGTAGAACCAAGCGAATTGTTGATTAGTAAACTCGTCCTTTGATTGATAGACTAATATCTCACCCACTTCATGAGTGACACAAAAGCCGACCGAACTTTTTGATTCCGTGTCGTGGTTTCATCAAATACCTATTCATCAGGACTGATGAGACGTCCAAGATAAATTATAAGTGATCGACATGCTCAGCTACTTCACTCCCTATCATTAATGCAGAGGTTGACGCAGCCCAGTTTTGAATTAACAATTTTGATTTATAGGGAGAGAATCGCGTCTTAAACATGCTCGCATTATTGCTTAAGGCAACAGTGGTCTCAATATCTTTTCAGCGTCTTTACCAAACAGCACGATATCACTTGGGTATTCTAAATCAATAAGCGAATCTTCTGGTAGAAGACCGACCTCTGAAAAGTCAGACTATGAGAGTATCATTTTTAAAAGGATATCGATGACGAAGTTAAATAAGAGTGGAGAAACTGCACAATCCTGAGGAACACTACTTGAGGTTGACAGTTCTCGATAAACTTTAACTTGACCAATAGTGTTGAAGTGAAGAACCTCTACAAATTTGATGTACTTGTTTGGTATGCCTTTTAATGACAAACACTACCACAGAACCTCACATTCGACAGGGTCGAAAACTGCCTTAAAGTCTAAGGTTAAGAAATACACTGTAGTCGGATGTCGGGAAGTATGTTTATGTTCCAGGACTTGACAAAGGGTGGGTATTTGGTTGTTACGTTCACGTCTAGGTTTGAACCGAGTCTGACTGTCCCGATTTCTCTCTTCACGAGCCCTGGTTATTGGGGAAAATATATTAGGTGTTATATTATTCAAACAGATTCCTTTGTGGTCACGACTAGGGAGATTTCTGTGCTTTCTTATAAACTGGGACAATCAGCGATCGAGACCAGTCAGATGGGATTATGTCTAATTCCCATATTCTAATTATGATCTCAGTCGATCTGACTGACAAACTAGACTACTATTTTTAGAGATCTCCAGAGCTAACCCATTTGAACCTGCTGCTCTGTGTCACTTTAGATTAGTTATAGATTTTTCAACCTCACTAAGAGTTTGAGGGCTGATGTTGATTTTCCTTTCAGGCTGTTTGGCGATAGTGGGTAACTGAAGGGTAGCAGGAGGTCAGTTGAACTGTTGCCTAAAATGTTCTGCATATCGGTTTAATCTCATGGGTTGAGAGTGAATAATAGTCCTGAGATAGTCTCACTAACAGCCGGATTATTAAAACCTGTTCGCTTGATAAGTCTGAATAGTTGTCTACTGTTAACTACTACTGCTGCCTTTTCCATCACTTTTGGTTTCTCTGCCCACCGCTGCTCACGATCATTGCATAGGCTTTTGATCCGTCTACATGTAAGCTGTTCTCACTCCTCATCGTGTTTGGAGTTAGACGGATGAGTTTCTGGGCATCTATCAGTTCAGTGGACTCTACGGAAATCCATTGACGTTTCTCAACGCTTTAGTTTAATTTACTGGTAGATATTACTGCTGTTTATAAATTTGTTTAAATATCATACCAAGCTACCTTGGAGTGGATATCACTTTCATGGTTAGTTAACTGATTTTCTATTTGCTGCTGAAATGTACGCTTGACTGTTTCACCATTAAGTCGAACTCGAAGAGGTCTTCTTGCTATGGCCTTTATGTTTTCAGTAAGATACAGACAAACATGTGTTCTCACTAGGATATGATCAAAGTCTAGACATGTGCTCTATAATGAGCGGCTGTCTATTATCGAGCCTCTCCAATAATGACTGGTGGCACTGTGATCCATTTGAATCCGTTGTTCATTCGGTTGTGGGTGTCTCAGTGTCAGACAATGTCTTCCCTTATGATTGGAGTTGATGTTTGCTAGAAATAAACGGTTATGTGAGCATAGTTGGAGCAGCCTGTTGGCCATGAAGACGTGGGAGTGTGGTGACGGAGGCTAAGGGACAATAGTTTGAGGTCGGTAAAACATGACCCTTTTTATGAGAAGTTTATGATCTCCTAGCTCCCTACTTCCAAAGGCCTTGGCACTGAAGACGTAAATCCGTGGTGTAAGTTGTAAAATCATTTCAGAGTCGATATTTTCTAACTTCTTCCCTTCGCTGTGAGAAGGCATCATTGCCGTAGATGCTGGTTTTCTGAAGAAAACACTTTACTGTTATCACACGACTGTACAATTAGCAGTATGACTTCTCCTTCAGACCTAAGGTTACTAATTTCATACTGACCGTTCTCCAAACTGACCTGCATGTTATGATAATACCTAAACGAACAAGTATTACAGCCCATATAAATCGATTAAGTGACCACGATATGCAAGCCTAACCACCATATCCATTTAGCAGTTACTGTTGTGATGTCCTTATTTTTGCTAACTGTGTTTTATTGTTAACTTTGTAGGTGTTGTTTTAGATGAAGAGAAGAATGTTTCGAGAGATAATAGCGAGACGTTGGAGCCACCGGTATCCTCTCTCCAAGGATTATCACCGATCCCTTACCGTTGTGAAGATGATGTTGCGATTCCAGACGGTACGTGTTTTTTTCAGTCGTTGTGGTTGTTTGTTTATCGATGTCCGACGTGTGTTTGTGTGTTAGAGAGTGTGATTGATTTCAGGTTGAAAATGGAGGTTATCATGTGAGCACATAGGTGTGTGTATGTATGCATGTGCATATATATATATATATGGATGAACAAAGAAATGTATATGTATATGCGTTTTTCAGTGATATTATCACCATGTATCGTGTTGTTTATGCTTACTGTGTTTGATTGTTGGTTTTGTAGTTGTTGCTTCAGATGGAGCAAAACATGCTTCGAGTGATGGTATGGTGATGTTGAAGCTACCAGTGTCCTCTCTCCAGGCATTGTCACCGATCCCTTACATTTATGAAGATAATGTTTCTATGCGGTGTCAGACTTTATCGCCTTATGTGTTGAGTTTCCGTGGTTGTTTTGTAGGATTTTGCAATTTCGTTATTGAATTAATTTTTTTTTGTTTTTTTTTCGTAGTCGTTTATGTTTTTTTGGAGATTGATTTTTGCCATGTTTTTTTTGCAGGTGTGTGTTCTTCTTTGGTTTGGAATAATGATCTTCAGGTAATGTTTTATCGTTTGTATCAATTTACTTGTGTTTGTCAAGTTTGTTTTGTCTACTCTTATCGCGGTGTTATTATATTTGCGTTTGTTCTTTAGAATTCTTCAAGAAGTTTATCAAATTTGCCTATCATACCTAAAGGTCGTCCGAGTGTGACATTCGCACCAATCGTAGGTAAGTGTTTTTGACTTATTCAGTCTACCGTTCCGTTGTATACCTTCTGTATAAATGATTTATTTTGAGTGCATAACCAGGTTTTCGATGTGTATTAATTCACTAGCTACGTCGTGATTATCGGTATTCTGCTTTGGTATGGTTACATATGTTTTAGTGTCCTATTTACAATATATGAGCTGTTTATTTTGTTGGACATTGTATTTTTTGTGTTCATAAGTTTGTAAATAAGTCAAATAACACTCGCAGTTGAGTAATACATGTATTCATTAAAGTAACTGAATCATATTCCAACTATGTTATCGTCATTCCGTTTTATTGCATTTGGAATTTCCTTCTTATTCACTAATTTGACAGTTTGTGTCATCAAAATATTGTTCTGAATTACTCTCATGAACTAGTCGATTGGTTATTACGTTATTTAACAAATTAAAATGTTCATGCGAATCCATTTGTTGACTGTATAAATATTGAAATATCTGACATTTTATATTTCAATAAAAAAAATGTGATTGATCGTTTACAAGATAGAATTTTCTAGTCATTACTTTTATTCCTGAGTATTTAATTCATATCACTTTTTAAGCTTGTAAATCAGAATTTTCCTACCCAGTGTATGGTATTCCGTCTATATCCAGTAATACGTCCCGACAAATGCAGTTAATTTTGAGCTAACGTAAGCTTTTTCTTCTATGACTCCACCGATTCCCATGCCATCTATCTTTAGCCTTGTGTCAGAAAAAAGCAGCCAAATTCCTATTATTATATCTCAACATAAATTATCAGACCTCAGCACACTTCAATATGAAGTCATACTGTACATACAATCATGCCATAAGCATATGTGCCTGGTCCTACGTTGTAGTTGCCTGACTGCCATAAGCAGCAAAGAGCAAAGCAGACGGTACATAGTGGAATAGTAATAATCTAGATACACATCACAACAGTTAATTCGTCCACCGGGAGCTTACAATAAAGAGACTACAGAGATAAAATAACAGTTGTCTACTAAGTTTTTTTTACCCCAGTGAGAAGATAAGTAACAATAATCTGTCACTCAGTCCTAAGAGTTACAGTCTATTCGATACTCGTTCGATCAAAGCAATTACTGGAATGAAACTTAAATTTACAATACTCGTTTCTTTTCTTTTCTATCATTCAGCAATGGAATGATGTAAAGATAAATATTTTATTTAAGCTGACCTTCACCATTTGACTAATATCTACTGTTTTAAAGTTTCGTTTAGCATTCTTTTTCTTACCAGAAACAACCGGTATTTCTAATACATTACATTCGATGAATAACTTTTCTAAGATATACTAAGTTATACTGAAGGACTGCTAATTTTACATAGTCTGTTTTAATAAATGCACGAACTAGACCACTAAGGCTTTGGTATAAATTGACAAAAAATCTGGGAAAGTTCATGAAATACTAAAGGATATTTATGAAGATAACAAGGTAAATAAGAAAGCTCTTTTTAAGCCAATAGTAGTGACAGCCACAAGGATGAATATCGACTTTCTTTGTTCGTGAAAACATTGGACGTGTGTGATCTCTCTTGCTTTTTGTTCACCGTTTCACGATTGTAATGATTTCTGACAAGCTGAATATGGGAACCCTTGTCTATATACAAATTTTCACAAATACACGGGACGAAAAACGACTGGAAAATACCACTAGGGTTTTGAGCAATGGAAATGTAAACGGGACAAATTTTGAACAGTAAAGTGTTTTTGACCTTATTCGAACTTATTTATTAGACAAACAACGTAGTGAAGTTCAGTTCTTGAATTTTAATCCTAGGAATAATTAAGTGGTGCTAAATTCTACTTTAAAAGACTTCTTCGATTGTTATAAAAACACTACTTTTATTTACATAGTTACAAATCAAAATCTGACATCCTCTGTCTTTTTTTTTCATGAACAGTATATTTTGATAGTCCAGATAATTCTCAACCCAGAGTATCTGTTGGTCCGATTGCTCATGAGGAAAGTGATCTTGCTCATTTTGATTGCGAACAGTCGGAAAAGCTAATTCACCAAGAAGGTTCCTTGGTAAGCCATGTACTTTCTAAATTTTTTTACCTTTGTCAATGAAATGTTTCTGGCTTAATGAATTTTTTGTTGAGTTTTAGAAAAACTTGTTGGTTTCCGTGTTAAATGTAGTTCTTGAGAAACTTAATTATCAGAAATACTTCAAGTTACTCGAATATCTTTTATCATTGAATTTATCCAGTTAAAATTATTGAATTTAACTGAAAATTACGATTATATTGTGCTTTAAATTGGTCCTTCACCGAATTATCTACTCACACCTATATTAAATAAACTACATAATCTGACAAGTCAACACGATTGACTAAAAATTCAAGTTTATTTGGTGTTATTAACGTTGGCTTTTAGCATTGAATTATTCAAACTGTTTTAGATGAATCATTTTGTCATATAATTCACAAGTTCAATTTCTCTGTTATCGTTCAAATGAAAAGTTTTGGTGACATCACTCAGTAAGAAATAAGTTAAATTTTACAATCGTATAACCTTATCTAAAAGACCTAGTTTTGACAATCTGTTTGTTTGTTTTTTTAATTCGAGTTCAACAAATAATAACTAACTAGTCACGAAATCGGATATGTTTAATACTCTTCTGATTACTAGTTTATGGCTACAAGGCATACTTCATGTAGTTGAATCCGTTTCATTCACTATGATCAATCCTAGACAAGAATATGCTTACTAGTTAGTGGTTTTGTTGGACATTTTTTATAAGACCATTACTGTTGTTCACATTTTAACAATCCTAATGACAGATCATTACCTATTATAATCAGTTTGTACATTTTTGATTAATTTGGTGTTTAGTATGTTGGATTAGTTCGGTTTTTTGTATACATATTCATTAAGCATTGACCAGATGAATCACTAGTTAAATTTTTCCAGCTTATATTAAAAGTGACGTAGTATCAATGACTTGAAGTCAACCATTTACAATTCTTGTCTGTTGTTCGATTTTTTGTGTTCCATCTGTTTATTTCCTGTTACTGACGAAGTATCACCATCTATTGTTCGTATATATTTATTCATGTTTTCATTTGTGTTTCAACTATAGACTCAGAGTGAAAATAAAGAGAATATTGGATCCTTTTTTGAATCGACTGCGTTATCTAGCACTCAAGACTCAAAGTATCCATCTCCATCCACTTCCTCGTTATCGTTATCAAGAATTAAACTTCCATGGTGTACTCCATACGATTGCCAGTTTTTACCATTCAGTTAGTCGATTGCTTATTTTTCTTATATTTCATCATCTTATTTATCATTACGATAAGGCTCACCGTTTTTAGGAGAAAAATAAGAGACAGTTTATTTGTGACCTGAATACATGACGATTTTGTAAATCTTCATTGACTGAGATGGTTGGGCCACGTGTTACGTATGCCTGAACACCGATTACCACGACGCACAATGCCGACTAGTGTTGGGAATGGTTGGAAGAAAGTTAGGGGCGGACAAACCAAAACATAGAATCAGTCCTTGAAGTTACTAACTTTCTACGGCGTTAATTCTTTCTCCCTGTATCATATCCTTATATGAAGTGTTGATTTTTTACTGCCATTGAGGTAACTGTGCATATTAACTTGGTGTTGATTTTGTTGTGCTAATGAGGTGTGGTAACTTGGACCGATGCATATATGTGCTTGGTCCTACATTTAGCTGACTGACTGACATGATGACTAGTTTTTGTTATAAAATTTATTATATTCTATATTTTATTACTAGAATGTTTCTTTTCTAGGTTGTAATGATGTATTCACATCAACTTTTTGCTTTCAATGTACACAATCAAATGTCTTAGTTTATCTAATGTGAACTAATCATAGTTAGCTTATTTAGCAAAGATATTTTCAGGATCAGGAATTTATTTATTATTTATTTTATTTGAACACATATATATTGGTACAGGAGTGCGCCATATATATATGCGCCACACAAAACAATGAGAATCTAAGGAGAAGAAAAAGTGAGGAACGTAAAAAATAGTAATAATAATAAACAATAACGAAGAGATTGGTGTAAGGTAGTGTAATAATAATAGCAATAGTAGGGGAACAGAAGGGTACAATTAGAAGACATCTTTCAGTTAAGTAAGATACAACCACTTTTTACGAAGAAAGTAAAAGAAGGTTACAGCAGGATCGCCACTGGCTTCTATTCTGAGCCATATCTGATAACATCTCTAGCCACTGTGTAGCACCATCTCTCGGATCCCAACCAGGGAGTCGTGGAGGACCAACACAAGGCAGTCCTTTACAGTTTCCTTTCATCCCACGACACCATGTCATATACTAACCACCTCTCCGCTTTTTCCAACCAGTCCCAGAGTCGGCAAATAATGCACGACGTGGAATTCTCTGGGACGACATTCGGAGAACATGTCCAAGCCACCGAAGTCGGTGTTTCAAGATGGTGACCCCAATTGCATTATCGTCTCTGCGCCCGAACACACGATGCAGAACCCCTGCATTACTAACATGGTGTTGCCACTGGATGTCAGCAATCCTTCGGAGACAACGATGGTCGAACACAGAAAGTCGTCTAACGTCCTCAACTCGGAGAGGCCAGGTTTCACAAGCATAGAGCAAAACTGCTCTCACCGACGCGTTGTAACTCCGACCTTTTACAACCAGACTAACATCACGAAGGCGCCAAAGATGGCCCAGATTGGCATAAGCCGCTCTGGCTTTCACTATACGTGCATTGATCTCATCACTCACATCCCCACCAGCACTTATGCAGCTACCTAGATACACGAACTTCTCGACTACGTCTATCTGCTCATCATCCAGGGTGCGTACAGGATTAGAATCCTGCCAGTCTTGTAGAAGTACTTTGCACTTCGAGGGTGCATAGCACATACCATATCTACGGACACTGATTGCCAACTGATTAAGTGCGGATTGCATGCCTTGGGCATTATCGCACAATAAGACAATATCATCCGCGTACTCAAGGTCGAGAAGTCTTTCTCCAGGCAACAGATCCACACCACCATTACTTACATCCATCAGAGCTGTTTCCAGAATGTCATCGATGGCAAAGTAGTAATAGTAATAATCAGTTCACGAATAAAAGTATTTGTATTTCAAACTTTTTCTAAATGCTATTTCCTGATGTTCATTTTTTCATTGGTTGACACTGACCTATTTGTTAATTTTGTTTTTTACAAGAATCAAAACGACCTCCTACTAAAAGTTTTATACAAAGTGATGGCCATTTAAGACGTAGTAAACGACTACGTGTACCAGCTACACATGATAGGAATAAAGTAGTTGTTTATGAACCGGATAAAGATGAATATGGTTTAGTTTATCAAAAACCAATTGGATTAGCTATATTACCTGACCCAGATGAAATTAACAGACGTCAAAAATTTCTCAATCGTTTAAAACGTTGTCAAAATAATCGTACTCAGTTTTTAAGAAATGAAAAAATCAATCGAGCAAAACGCCTTCAAAAACTGGCCAAACGTTACAGATCACTGAAAGGTAGGTGACTATAAGAGCGAAATATAATAATATTTAGGTTACCAACTTATCTGTTGTTGTATATTTTCTGTAATGTTACTTTTTTAAAAATATTTTGAGTTATTTTCATCTTGCCTGTATTCTAATTTCTTCACAGTTTATATGTTGTCTTATTTATCAAGTGTGCACTAAATCAAAGATCTATTCAGTAAACTTATTCTGAAGTATCGCTTACTGTATGAAGTACACATTACTAGATAATCATATTTCATCGCACTTGGGATGCATCATAGGACCCTGAAGTTTCTGTTCTTTTTGAACCTATGGTTGTATTATTTTCTTACAGTTACTGGATACTAGTATGTCAGGTCAAGTGTAGCTAGTCTTTGGTGGTAGATAGGAAGCTGAGTCTGATAGTCAATTGAAAGTAACTTTTACCTCAGCTTTTACCATAAAGTTTTAGGTGCTCATAACTAAATATTTTAATCTAAAATATATTAACAACTATGCCACTACTTCTATTTTTCTATAAAAAGGTGCACAGAAACCTGAAACAGATCCATGTATGCGAATTCAATTGGATCCAGATGTTGAATGGATATCACATACAGAAACACAGTTGCCTATCGGGATCAATGATGCATCTCCTTTCCAACGTATGTCAAATAACAGACGAAGTATTGAATAATATTTTTTTCTTACCCAACCATATTTTGACTAAAAGTTCTTACTAACGTTAATATTACTTTGAGTAAATTAGCTTTATCGTTCTCATATACAGAATATATTTTATATTGCATAGGTAGGTGATCTGTATTTCAGTAATCAGTGAAAATTCATTAACGTTTAAACAAATAGCCGAATAGAAGTTTGATTGACAGAGATTATTTCAAATCTACTTGGTTTAAATATAATGGTGACCTACTTTTAAAACAAAAGTGATTAACAATGATTAGGACGGATACTAGACCACACTAATTAATGTGTTATAACGCTCGATTTTTCCCCGTCTACACTAATGGGACGATAATTTACCTTAGACAAATATGTACACTAGATACCTTTCCAGTATCTATGATATGATGGGAAAAAAAGTCAATTTTCGATTGATTCACTCATTATGAATTTTGTTCAAGGTTACTTCCGTTTGATTCAATGTAATGATTACTCAATGTAGTATTTGTTTTCTTTTCTCGTATGATATTTTATTCTGTATAATATGCGATATTCTTGTATCCCATTGACATGAACTATACTCAGTATGTGATTTGTTATAACTCTAAGTATTTTTCATATGTGATTATATTCTAATTATTAATCAAAATGGGTCTACAATCAATATCTAAATGAGTGTTTTTTTACTAGAGTCGTCGTCGTCAGTGTTTTGGGGTTAATAAATCATCACTTATGCCAGTCTTTGTGTTCTTACTTTCGCGTCGTGGAAATTGCAGAGGTCCCTCGTTCCGAGTACATGTGATAGGCGTTTCCGACATAACAATCAGCGACGACCAGATACAAAAATAGCATTAAAAGAGCCAAGACAATAAGCATTCAAACCACAAATTATAACAATCTATTCTACTGAACTTCAACACACCTCAGATCAAAAACATCTGACTAGCCTGACTGGGACGTACGTATATTTCTATACCAAAAACCGACAACAATCACAATATTATCTGTGTTTGAATATTTGATGATTCTTGAACTAATCGGTGAATTATTTAGCCTTCGAATTTATTATATTTTCTTAAGTAGTGAAACTAGTAATTAAAATAAATTGAATTGTCCCTGCTTATTTTGATGTTTGGAGAACTGTCTTGAAGATATTATGTTGAGTTACAAGAAGATATCGTCCCATATTCTTACTACAGTGAGCATCAACATTCGGCGATCATTATGAAATTAATATTTTATTATTAACATTTAGTTAGGTATATCTACTTAGCCTGTTGAGTACATCTAACTTCGGTTACCTGAAGGTCATTTTAACATATGGTAATGGGCTATCTTAGTTCCTCTGATTATCATTCGTAAAACAAAATGTCTGTTCATTTTTGTAATAACTTTTAAATCTGATATAAGCAGTAATGGGTAGTGATTTTATCCTTAATTATAGAGGTGATATATCCAGAAAATGCACAATTTCCTCCATTCAAATTTTCTACTATGGAATACTCGAGTTACGTAGTTCCAGCTTTATCTGGTGCTTTTCCAAGTAGAACTAAGACTCGTATACCTTGTTTTGAAATGAATGCAAATCTTACGAGGATTGTCAGTAAGGAACAAGAAAGACGTCAACTTCATTATGATCCGAATGCTATAAATGTATTCAAAATGATGTCAAGTCCTCCTGTTCTCATGAATAATAACAGTTCTTACAGTCTTTATGCTGTACAGATTGCGAAATTTGCCATTCCTTTAACAAAACCTTGTATCGTATATATTCCAAAAGGTAAGTTCTTATCATAAAAATAATCATGTATTATTCTGCTTAATTTTATTTTACTGTTCACAGCTAGAATTTATTAATTACTTTGAAATGAATCATTTCTCCCTCCTTATTTAAAGATTTCCTTGAATTAAAAATGACTATACATTCGTTATACATTATATCCCATTGATAAGATAGGGGAGCGCCAATATATATGCGCCACACAAAACAATGAAAATTCGAGAGGAATACAAAGAAAAAAAAAGCTAAGGAGCGCAACAAAAAAAAGAGAGAACAATAACGAAGAGATTGGTGTAAGGTAATGTGCTAGTAATCAGGGAACGCAAAGGTACAATCGGAAGAAATCTTTCAGGTAAGGGAGACACAACCACTGTTTATGAAGAAAGTAAAAGAAGGTTACAGCAGGATCGCCACTGGCTTCTATTCTGAGCCATATCTGATAACGTCTCTAGCCACTGTGTAGCACCATCTCTCGGACCCCAACCAGGGAGTCGTGAAGAACCAACACACGCCAGTCCTTTGCAGCTTTCTTTCATGCCACGACACCATGTCATGCACTGACCACCTCTCCGCTTCTTCCAACCAGTCCCAGAGTCGGCAAATAATGCACGACGTGGAATTCTCTGGGACGACATTCGGAGAACATGTCCAAGCCACCGAAGTCGGTGTTTCAAGATGGTGACACCAATTGCATTATCATCTCTGTGCCCGAACACACGATGCCGAACCTCTGCATTACTGACATGGTGTTGCCACTGGATGTCAGCAATCCTTCGGATAAGATATATATAACTTGATCATAATGAAAACTTAACTCACCAAATAATGAAGAACACTTTATGAGAATGACTTAAGTTGTATTCATTCACAACCATACTGAGATGATAAGTTATCCAATTGTTTTCCACACTACCTGTCTACATAAGTGTCTATTTAATAATCTGTTCAAAGACATAATATTTACAGTTCAGTAAGATCATTCTTCGACTTAAATTATGTAGTTTTCAAGAGCTAAAAATTTATCAATTTTGTTAATTTTTCTGACATTTATTCATTCTCTGATCAATCTTTTTGTTTCAGGTATACCGTACAAATTTTTAAATGCAACAAAAGAGGACTTAAATCTTTGTCGAATAAGATATGTTTTAACTTGATTCTTTTCTTTTAAATAATTTTATGTAATTTTATCCACTTCACTTCTGTCGTATATATCTATATATACACTTTTATACCGATTGTCATTATTTTGATTTCTCTTGAATAAATATATTTAAATGTAGTAACTTAACTTTACTATTGCTTCATATTGACTATTTTGTTATTTTATGATTGTTATATCTTGTGGGCTGTGTACCATGCGAATGTATATTGTAACGATACTACCAATTAGAGAGCAGTGACTTATCGATCGGACCAGTGACGCATAAATCCCGTACGAGCAGCCTCGAGTCCTGATTGGTCGTGCTTCGTGCCTAGCCCAGCCAGTTAAGTCCAGAACACCAATCTCAGCCTCGGCAATATGAATCATTTATTTCAAGCATACTGGGTTTATATACCAATCAAACAGACAACACCGTACCATAAAATAGGAAACAACATTTGTACAAGATTTGGCCAAATGTGGCTGCGAGTGTGGGAGGTAGTAATTAATAGACAGGGCATAATTCAAGAATGGTAAATCGTATAATAATAGTTCATAGGCCAAAATAAAGCTTATGATAAGACTTACTTACGCCTGTTACTCCTCGTGAAGGAGCATAGGCCGCTCACCAGCATTCTCCATCCAACCCTGTCCTGGGCAATGCTTTCTAGCTCCGTCCAGTTGTAATTCATCGTTTTCATATCTGCTTCTATTATCCGACGCATTGTGTTCTTTAGCCTTCCTCTTTTTCGCTTCCCTTCAGGATTCCAAGTTAGGGCTTGCCTCGTGATGCAGTTTGACGATTTGCATAATGTATGTCTTATCCATTTCCATCGTCTTTTCCTAATTTCTTCTTCAGCTGGAAGTTGGTTTGTTCTCTCCCACAGAAGGCTGTTGCTGATGGTATCCGGCCAATGGATGTTGAGTATCTTGCGAAGACAGCTATTTATAAATACTTGTACTTTCTTGATTGTGGTTGTTGTAGTTCTCCATGTTTCAGCTCCGTACAGTCGAACTGCCTTGACATTCGTATTGAAGATTGTGACTTTGATATTGGTTGGAAGTTGTTTTGAGTTCCATATGTTCTTCAATTGTAGGAATGCGACCCTTGCTTTGCCGATCCTCGCCTTTACGTCTGCATCGGATCCTCCTTGTTCATCGATGATGCTTCCCAGGTATGTGAAGGACTCTACATCTTCCAGAGTTTCGCCATCAAGAGTGATTGGATTGCTGTTCTCCGCTTTGAATTTGAGGACCTTGGTTTTCCCTTTGTGTATTCTGAGGCCTACTGATGCAGAGACTGCTGCTACACCGGCTGTCTTCATCTGCATCTGTTCGTGTGTACGTGATAGGAGGGCTAGGTCATCTGCGAAGTCCAAATCGTCTAATTGATTTTGAGCTATCCATTGTATTCCGTGTTTTCCCTCAGATGTCGAGGTCTTCATAATCCAGTCGACCACCAGAAGAAAGAGGAAGGGAGAGAGTAAACAGCCTTGTCTGGCTCGGGTCCTTACTTGGAATGCATCTGTCAGCTGTCCTCCATGCACTACTTTGCACTGTAGTCCGTCGTATGAGTTCCGGATAATATTGACAATCTTCTCAGGAACTCCGTAGTGTCGAAGAAGTTTCCATAACGTCCTCCTATCTACACTGTCGAATGCCTTTTCATAATCAATGAAGTTGATGTATAGTGACGAGTTCCACTCAACTGACTGTTCGACGATGATCCGTAGTGTTGCAATTCGGTCTGTGCACGACCGATCCTTACGGAATCCAGCTTGTTGATCTCGGAGTTGGGCGTCTACTGCATCCTTCATCCGGTTCAGCAACAATCTGTTGAAGACTTTCCCTGGTATTGACAGTAGTGTAATGCGTCAGTAGTTTTCACATTTGCTCAGATCTCCTTTCTTTGGAATCTTGACGAGGTGTCCTTCTTTACAGTCCATCGGCACTTGTTCCTCCCAAATCTTTTTGAATAGAAGATAAAGCATGCTTGTGGTTGCTTCGATGTCTGATTTCAGTGCTTCAGCTGGTATGTTGTCGGGTCCTGCTGCTTTCCCGTTCTTGATTTGTCTGACGGCCATTCTAATTTCTTCCGTAGTTGGTGGATTGACATCTATAGGAAGATCTGTGTGTGCTGTTTTGATGTCCGGTGGATTCATTGGAGCCGGCCTATTCAGGAGTTCCTCGAAGTATTCTACCCATCTGTTCCGCTGTTGTTGAATTTCGGTGATTGGCTTGCCTGCTTTGTCTTTGACCGGCCTCTATGGTTTACTATATTTCCTTGCTTCGTTGTATCGTAGAGCTGTTTCATATTTCCTTCTCTAGCAGCTTTTTCTGCCGTCGTTGCTAGTTCTTCCACGTATTTCTTCTTGTCGGTTCTAATGCTCCTCTTCACTTGCTTGTTTGCTTCTATGTATTCAGCTTGTGCTTGGACTTTCTCTGCTCGTGTTCGGCTGTTGTTTATTGCTGCCTTCTTGTTCTTCCTTTCTTTGATCTTGTCCAGTGTTTCTGTAGAGATCTATTCCTTATGATGGTATTTCTTTAGACCGAGAACCTCTTGACACGTTGAAGTTAATGCTTCCTTGATGCCTTTCCAGTTGTCCTCCATACTAGTTTCTTCTCTTATAGGGTTACTGCCGGTCCCAAGCCCGGGTAAAGGATGAGGGTTGGGCATGGGGTTAGCTGCCCCATCCCGTAGAAAACTAACTCGCTAAAAAAACGCTTACCAGAAAAAAATAATCCAAACCATTTTAACTTTGCCCTGGGAGTTAGAAGGTCTTCATTTAGAAGAATTATGACGCTTCATGGTGAAAGCCGAGTTGCTTATGATAAGAGGGACATGAATATGAACAGTTTATTTATTTAACAATTACATAATAAAAGTCTACGCATAGTATTGGTCCATAAATGGATCCCAAAAGTTACCATTCATTATGCTTATCGGGATATAACAATAATAAATCAAGATAGTAGAACTTTCCTTTAATCAATTTAAGTTAATGATTCGAAATACATAAGAAAGTTAAGTTACTAGTGTCTACGTACATTTAAGTTCTAACCAATATAAGTAAAAGTTAAATCATTAATTATTTTGTCAGGTGAAACCTAAACACTGAGTTTTAAATACTGTTACTGATAATTAATATTCATCGTCACTGTATTTAATTAGCTTGAAAAATATAGTACAGTTCGGTGTACTTAGGTGACCCTACCTTGTCTAGAAAGACAATGTATTTCCCAAGGGTAGTAGGTTGCTTAGTAATCTGGATGAAGGTTAGTGAATACTGAAATGCCAAGAAAAATACGTGTTTGGATTTTATATTTGCTAAGATATAGTATAAGTCAGTTGATAATTCGTTCATGAACTGTCTAAGTGATACATTGATAAAAGGCTTGGTAAACAGTGTTTCTGAAACTGGACATCATAAAGGGATTCTATTAATCCAATTTTGTTCACTATTGTGGTGTTCACTACATATGTTAACAGATACAAGTAGTATGTAACACCAACCGAAAATAGAATGTCTGGTAGCAGAAGATTGTAATGAAGAGGACAGGGAAGAAATCTGAGAGCGATCCAAACAATAATGGAATTGGAGAAGTAGTGGAGTATGTAAAGGAAAATGTGTATAATTTCCATATTTCTCGAACTCATTCCGTAACTCGGTATTAAACAGTTAATTGCTATTTTTCATCTCAGCTCTTGTTCGCTACATTATGACTTTCTTTAAGATCTCGGTATTATATGCTCAATCCAATGTCTAGCAAACATATCATTTAGGACTATGGTCAAAAATGTATACGTAACTGTCTAGCAAAGAGTTCATGGAGGTAGGTATAAATTTTGCATATTTTTTATTCTGTGCACCTAGATGGAATTCATTAGGAGGTGTCTGGGGAGCATGTTACCAAATTTGATCATGTACTCTACAATGTTCCCTGACAGTAAGTCCACTTACATCTTCGATTGTGTTGCGAAATGTTACTCATGGACATTTTATGAGTATCTGATTGAGATTCACTTACTTGTCCAATATTGACTGAAAGTTTAGATCAATACTGTACTAGGTCCAAATCATAGAGTAACATATACAATGGGTATAGTATGCTGGGTTTTTCTTCCGTCAACGTCAAAGAGCAAATTAGCATACCTGAAGAATTCTATAACTATAGTGAGATCAAAGTCGCTAAGTAATTTGAGGTTTTAGTGAATCATTCGACATCTATCTAATATAAGCATAAGTACATTCTCTAGAAACATCTGTAGCGGTAAATAAATCCCCAAAATAAATAGCTCTGTAAGCTTTCTTGACATTGGATGCTGACCAGATAAGTTTTAGTGGACTCACCTAGCTGAAGGCGCTCGGTCATGCATCCGCACCAGATCACGTGTGGGAACGCCGTGCTCAACATCTACTGCAATCGCTAGCCAGACTAGATCAGACAATTCCGATATATTGGCAATCGTCAAATACAGCTTCTGATCTCCTCGATTCTGTCTTTTGATTTCTCTTAGTGGGTACGAGTTATATTAGAAGGTGTTACTGGTAAAAGCGTTGTCAAACACTGAATAAGAAAGAAAGATTAGTTCAGCGAAGAGTTCACTTTTCGGCGAATTCATTTTCAAAGCTGTACAATCGCAAATATATATACTTATTTTTACAGGGTGATAATAATACTGATAATAAACTTATGTTATACATGGTGACAGTGAGGTTAAATAAACAAAGGTATTAGAAAAATGTTTTAAAACAAGGAAAGTTTGATAGTTAATGGCTTAGATATTCATCGGGTAAGGGTAGCTCAGCATGATAAAATAACATAAAATGTTGAAACAGAGATGAAATATAATTGGAATGATCGTGGAAATAAAAACAAACCGGTTGGGGTATAAGATTTGAAGGGAAGATGGAAGGTGAAGCAGGTGGCTGTAAAAGAACAAGAGTAATGAGAAAGAGAAAAATTTTTTAATACATTAAGACCATGGTAAAAGAAGAGATTGTATCAGTCTCTTTTGTACACATAATTCTGGTTTTTCAAAATGTATGGCTATTGCCTCGGCAATGCAAAGAAGATGCAGTCTAATTGTCTTAGGAAGGCTTCTACTTACCTTGTAGATGACCTTGAACGCAGAGTCTGTCTTG